TAAGTCTCCCGAAAGCAGTATAAGCATAGTATCCTAAAATGACCAGATGCTACCATATTCCAGACACATCTTGCCTAGTTCTAGCCTTTATGAGCCATATAGTCTTGGTCTACCACGTGCCGTGTGCCGCGTTCCTGGAATCCAATTCAAAATATGGATACCTTGATGGCTTGCTGCGGATACTCTGCGCTTCGGCCGTCGTTGCCGCAGGACTTTTTGCTCTTTATTGCTTCCCAGGCTATAGATGCCTAAAGGAGATTAACAACAGAGGCGGAGAGATGGTAAACAAATAAGCCGTTGTGATTTCAGCTGCATCACATCCCATGGACATTTTGCCGATGTCGGGAATACTCAGTTGTCCGCAGTCCGTACTTATACGCATCAAGACGTATTACCTCATCCGGATATACTACAGACCACAGCTTCAAAGAGTCTGTCCAATATCATGCTGTACCTTGGCACCGGAACGCATGGCACGACACAGCATTACATCGTCTCAAAAACCTACCCACTCTGGTCTCTCCACTGCGCCTTGGGTTCGAAGCCATGCGGTGACATGCCATCGACGAGGAAAATCCCCCAAGCTAGAGATGATGCTTCACAGCTTCCTCTCGTCCAGGCTGCGGTCCGCTCAACTCACACCACCACGTTCCTCGGTATAGCAGAAAATGGCACTCTTCCAAACGGCCAAGAATTACTCGCCAACTACCGAAACTAAATGAGTCGCAACGCACACTAGCACGCCACACGTGTTGCATCTGCGAATCCGACTCGACAAAAACACCTCGCCTGGGCCAAATTAGGAAACTTTTGGATCTTTTCCCGTCCAAACTGTCACTTTAGTGCCGTAGATGGAGCCCAAAGCTGCCCATAATTTTTCTGGCAACGGAGCGTCCGACTTATCGCCCTATATGCTTACATTCTGGGGCCGTTCTTCTTCTTTATCTAAACGCCTTGCATTAGGTTCAAACGCGTTCGACAAACGGGAAAAATCACCATCAGGGTTGACCGACCTGTAGAATTTTCTCCGTGCAGATGGTAACTAACATGCATGGCTCACAGCCACGTTTCAGGCGAACTACACGCCATTGACGCCTAGGAGTGAGAAAAGGTTAACGGGCAGAGGCGTCTCTTCTTTCAACTCTGCAATACTTACTAAACATTAGCCTCGCCACGATCAGAGCCTAAGAACGGTGAGCTAGCCTTGCCCACCCGCGGACGAATTACTCCCTCCCCCAGATCGTGCCCATCAAATCATCTACTTAAGTCCGTGGTTCAGCGGCATTTGCTGGCACCGGTGTAAGCGCCAGTGGCACTGTCCGCTCTTTTAGTGAGCAGATCCCACCATGTAAAAGTGCCGAGCGGAGGGCGTCCGCCAGAGTGTCCCTCTATACTAGTCCAGTAAAGTAAGAATTTCTATCATCTATAGCAAAAAAAAAAAAGGGCACACAGCGAGAGGCTAGAAGAGAATGTTCCCACCCTCGCCTGTTTTCCCATTCGCGTATATACCTAAGCCGCCCAAAAGGTGAAATGCTGCTAGCACAACACCATCTCTCTTCAACGGCCCCTAGTTCTTTTCCGCGGAAACAACACACCAATCATCGGATGGAGATCTGCACAGATTATTCCGCCATCTAGCATAGCGAGATGATACTACTAGTAGTAGCACTTTGTTCTTTTTTTATACATTACTTAGACGCGAGGGTTTACCTGATTACATGTCTGTTTAGTCCATTATCAGCCGTTCTAGGCCTGAGGATCTGCGTCCTGCCAACAGATAAGCTTGATAGTAGGCAGCTCGCCAGTTTCATACCAGTATATGCGAGGCTTCGAATCATATCATGGCAATCGCCCTCGGGTTATGGAGCAGTAATCAGAACTGTGCACCCCTCCATGCATACCAGGGGGGAACATGCATCTGCATAACCTAAATCGCACCCAACACTAATAAGAATCTCGCTTCGAAGAAGAAGAGTTCAAAAATAGAGTTAGAAACAAGAAATCAGCACACGATACTACCACCTTATGTACTAACACAATACACCACACAAGTCGAGAACTCGTAAGACACACCGCATCAATCAACCAGATTTCTTACACGAATCAATACTCAACTAAAACCTCTCAGATCCCCTTCCCCTGCCTCACAACTCGCACTTAATAAGCTCGCCTCCACAGGGCAAACAAAACAAAAAAGAATAAGCCTCGCGCTCAGGCCACCGCAATCTCTGTGCTTACGGCCCTCTTCCTTTCTGATCTGATATCTCCTAGGACCCTTTCTCAAATCACCTGGTCTCTTGTTCTTTTTTTTTCCCCGTCCAATCCGAGCCAGCCAATGAGCACTAGGGCTGCCGATGCATGAAATGATCCGGAGTTTTTCGTCGTTTGTCGTTTTTGGTTCGTTTCTCACTGCCCATGAAAGGTTGGGGGCCTTGCCTTGTTAGTAGCAGCATCACACACTCTCTCTCATTGATCTCTGCCTGCTTGGCCAAGCCAGCCCCCCCTAGACTAGACAGTCGGCAAAAAGACGCTGAACCCGGTAACACATCTTACCGTTCACGGCGTCCATGCCCCGATTACATATGCAGTACCCGTATCGGTAGCCGACGAGGACCCGCGACTCTGTCCGACCTTATTCCGCTTTTACGATGAACACTAACAATGTCAACCGTGGGGAAAAGCGCTGGTGCCTTTGCGCCTAGAATTGCGATTCTGCTAGTCCCGCAGTCTTGAATCATGGCAAAAGACGGGATATTCCATATATCACGCAATATAGCACAGTTGAAAAGCAACAAACTAGGAGCAACTGGGAAAGAGGCAAACAAAGAAGAAGAAAAAGAGGAGGAAAATAATCCGGAAATAAAAAAGAGGAGCAACAAACAAAAGTCTCATGTCGCGGAAAAAATACGCTCGGCACCTCATCATCCCATACTGCAGCCACAGTAATTGCTTACCGTAGCATTTCTCTCGCCAGCATCTCCCCCGAAACCGTCCTGTCGGCCTGCGGACGAGCGCCCACCGAGAGCCGGCGTTGCTTTTCTACCTACAGTAGGCACCTAGATACGTAATAGCCAAGCTGTGTAATAAGTAATTCGCCCTCGCCGATCCGTCATCCATTATTAACGGGTGAGCCGCATTCGTTACATTCAACCTTACTAAACAGCATATTCCTAACGGAACAAAGATTCCATATCTCACCCCAAGAAGCGAGAACCAAGCAAAACGCACGCCCGACTTACTGTACAGTAATTGCCATGAAACCCCCATCCCGCCCATTCCCATCCATCTCACGCCCCCATCCCTAACAAACCCTCATCTCCAATCAGTAATAAACCTCGGCCAAAAGAGGAAACCCTCCAAGCAAAACGGAAAAAGATGATCCTCAAAAGGAACAGGTAGGGACCCTGAAAATCTCACCTCCCATTGCCCTGTCCCGTCCACACGACTTTTTCCACCACCATGCTTAGCTTACTTTATAGCTCGCTATTACTAGCCGCTCTCTCTCGCTCTCTCTCTCTCTCTCTCTCTCTCTCTCGTTCCCTCTTACATGTAATTTTTCCTTCCACTCCTAGTAGTGCCTAAAATCCTGGCGATCCTGGGCGCCCGCTGCCATGCACAATACCGTTTACTACCCATTCTATACTCCGTATTTATCCGTGGCGTGGCCTTTTTTTAACTTGAAATTTTTCCGCTGACTGTGAGCTAGTATCTCCATCTGCCGAATCAATCTTCCGTGTCCGCCATTTGTAGTGCTAGTAAATGTGCTAGTAGGCATAACAAAGAGAATGATGAGATTTGAGGCCAAGAAGCAAAAGCTACCACGACTTATCTACTAGTGCCCTAGGAAGGAGAAAAAAACTGGCGCTAATATCTAGATTCGAACTACACGCCACACCCTTCACGGCACTACTACCTGCTCGTAGATGTTGCTTCGTGCAGTACATCTCAAATCCTCCAAGATACGGCGGGCCACAATCACCCTCCATGTCATCATCCCATTTCCCTTTTCCAACAAGCAACGTCTCTCTCTGCCCCTTCGGGCCTCTCTCGGCTGGCCCCGTTCCAGTACTTGTATCTAATCACCACACACGCCCCCATGTCCTTCATCAGCTCCAGCACCACTGCCACTGCCACTGCCACCATATACTAGAGTACCACGTAGTAGGATAAAACATGTGAGAGCAGTGCTACCCAAGAAACTATACTAATATCAAATCCGCCTCTTCCATGTCTATTTTTGTCTGGCTAGCAAGTATCTAGTAGCCGGTAGTACTTATCTTGGTGCCTGGTGCCTGGCGTCTTGTGCCTTGCAGCAGCTGGGGTGGTCTAAAGCTCCCTCTTACTCTCTCTATCTGGGCAGACGCGAATACGGAAGTTCTCGCCCAGCTTGCCCGTTCTCACCCGTCTTCTTAGATGGGGGGCCTTTTGCTATGGACTTTTGAAACCGGCATCGCCGAGAGCTAGCGTCATCAGGCTGAGCAGATATCCCAATATCGTACGAACCGTAGTAAACTGCTATCCTATCCTATCGTGCCGGCACAAGAGTAAACGTGACATCGATAACAGTCGTCTCAATGAGGTAGAACTGCCTTATGCATGCATACTTTGTCGTTCCATCGCCCAATATCAACCTGTCTCTGGAGCTCACAATGCAGCTTAAAGGAGTATGCTTGGTAAAAGTTGATTATTAAAAACTCAATTCCATTGCTGTAAAACGCCAAGGTTATGCCAAGCTGTTTATACCCGCTAGCTAATGCAACTAACTCATCGAGATCCTCAAAACTGGAATACAATACATGCAGACATTGCCGCTCATCATCAAAGTCCATGCAGGACAGTAAGCTATTGTACAGAAACTGATGCCCATATTTTTTTTTCATCGCGTAAGACCATATACAAGTGATAAACCAAACCAGAGGAAAACAAACAAAAAGAAAAAAGAAAAAAAAAAAAACAACAAGGTATATACAGTCAAAAGTAGGAAGCAAGTCTTTTCCATATCAAAACATAATCCACTCAACCCCGGCGCCTGGTCCGCCAAGGCACTTGGTCCAGTTGAAGGGGCCTCGGCCAGTTCCCATAGCGTTGTAGTAGCCAAGCTTTGCGTCATTCTTAATCTCCCCTGACCACAGTTTTTCCAGTACGTCAAGAGCTGCCAGATTGTTCATGTAGCCGGATCGGCTCATGATACCACGGCACTTTTCACGTATAACGTTCTGTTGTGACTCCACGATGCACTCTGACCCCGCAATAAACAGTGGCCATAGTAGAAACTTTTCTGCCGAGCTGCTAGTCTCCAAGCTCGTGGCGTGATGAACAACATGGCTGACAAGATTCTGGAAGTTGGCATGCGTAGATGATGTCTGTGGGTTCGCAAGGCGCTCTGAGTAGAGCAGGGCCGCATATCGGAAAGCCTCAGAGACAGCTCCCAAATCTCGGACCTGTCCTGTAGTTGGTGATCCTGGAAGTGATTTGGCCAATGCAGATGCGTCAAACTGCCAATCTTGAAGTTCTTTTCGTGCCGCTCTCCACTCGGTCCAAAAGAGGACTCGGCGCTCATCAAAGGATATGGAGGAGTACATTGCAGAAGCAAGCATTTCGTCATCATTGATTGTAGTACCGAAGCCACTTCCATCAAAGCGTGGGGTCGGGGTTGAGGCCTCACCCGCGCTGTCCTGTTCAGATGGCGTCGATTCGTTGATGCCTTGCACAGACCGATGCTGGGACAAAAGATTGAGGCGGCCCAGCTTGCCAATTGTTTTGAAAAGTTTCCGATCGCATCCAATCATGTTTTCGGATCCTGCAGGTAGTTCTTGTACATCAGGGGATACGCCCTCGAAACCAGGCGCCAGCTGCGCTTCTCGCTCATTGATGCTGGCGGAAATGGCGTCGAGGTAGGTGAAGAGAGTTTCCATCCATGAAGAGTCCTTGGATGAGGCTGGTTCTCGGGATCTTCTCATGGCTAGAATCTGGCGCACACCCACAAACTGGGTATGAAACTTTGCCACGCCCGATTCGACCATTCGATAATGGCACAGCAGAAGAATCGTTGCCAGTACTGAGTCGTGATGTGATCTCGTTGGGTCGCTTAGTTGCCGATTCAGAAGATCTACAGCCAGATTGCGGTGCTGCATCTCTTCAGACAGTGATTGATCCTCAATCTCCGGTCCTGGAGTGGCCTCAGCGGCCTGCTTCTCCAGTGTTAGCGTTGTAAGCAGCTCTCGAGTTCCGTATCCCAGGCTCAATCTTCTCTTCATTCGCAAATTGCAAGCCGATAAAGCACAAATCGCATGCTGCACACTTGGATTGTGCAGAGCGAGGCGGAGAACGTGTTCTCTAAAAGGGTTGTGAGGGCCATCTATAAACACCATAGATGGGGCCATTGTAATCTTGAAGTAATCCATGAAAAACGGCATCTTGGCCAACAGATCCGTCTTGGAGCCAACCTGCCCAAACCATTGCACCTGGCCACTACTATGGCGCCTCCGCTGTTGTATTTCTTTTCGTGCAATTCGAGGTGTGGAGCCACCACCGGTACCCGCATCGACTTCAGAGACACCTGCTCGCTTATTAGAAGGGAAAGGCCGGGCAGGGCGCCATGTGATGCTCACTGAGGCTTTCACAACCCCGCATAAGTTTGTGGCCCAGGTGCGACCCAAAAGGATCCATGTGATGGCTGAGGGCAGAGTGAGGCTCTGATGGGGCGTAGACGAGCCCAGGATATGAGGTTGGGGCGCGGCAGTGGTCAAGGACCAGCACGGTAGGAGGGCTCTGCGCAATGGGAGAGCTGTGCTGTGCAGGATATCCGTCATACAGGACGTTTGGGCTGTGGCTGAAGGGGATCTCCTCGCGAGCATAAGATGAGCTCAGAGGAGAAAGGTAGTCGACCTCGCTGCCAACCGACTCGCATGAGGAGGAAAGCGCATCAGTGCTCAAATGAAGAGGGTACCTGGCATATCTCGGTGTCACATCCGGAGAGTGCACGAGGCCTGGAGAATATCCCCAGCCGCTCTGTGTCATCGGCGGGGTGTGGTTGTGGTGTGCGATGGAGAGGTAGTCGTACGCGGGGACTTGGTAAGCCGGAGTAGTCGGCGTTGAAGCCGTATGCGTGGTTGATGGAATGTCAATTGGGCTTCGAGACATGTTTGTCGACAAAGAAGCGGCGCTGGAATGGGCCCTTGCTCGAGAGACGGGCGACTTCTTGGGCTCACGAGTGACAGGAGGGGCCTTGGCAATGGGCAAAGACAGCCCACGAAGCTTGCCACGGCTGGCAACACCAACACCCCATGTAAGCTGAGTCTTGTAGCCCGAACACTCGTTGCCAATCTCAAGGCATTGGGAGCAGTAAGGTCGACGACGATCGCATTTGACACCGCGTTTCGAGCATGTGAAGCAGTCGTCTGCGGCACCACCAGCAGGGGCGCGTCTTCTGCGCTTGCGGATGGTAGCAGAGGTGTCCTTGACAGCCACGGTAGGTTGGGATAACGGAGCAGTCATGTTGATGTGAGGGCGGCGGATTGTCGGGGGAAGAATTGTATATATAAAAGTATAACAAAGATTGCTGGTTGGCTGCGGAGCTAAAGATTCTCTCAAAGTCTCAACTTAGACGAAGGGAGGGGCAGGTATGAAGTATATATATATATATATGTATATATGTATATATATAGATCGATGCTTGATGCAGTCAAAGATATAAGGATAACTTGAAAAGGAAGGGAGATGAGACAGAATATAAAATGAAGTAGACTGTGCCAATGAAGCAAGTTATGCCGAGTGTCAAAGCAGCCAGATGAGGACGGACATGATGAGGGTTATGTATGAACGAGAGGGACGGTTATTGTGTGGTGTGAATCGGCACAAGTCCTGGACCCGGCTGATATGGAGTGGCTCTCACAAAAAAAAAATCATGACCAGGATGGCACTTCACAGTAGCGGCAAAGGCAGTGGCAGCCGGGGCGCTTGTGCCATGGATCGTGAGCAAGGGGCAACTTGCAGGTGCTTTGATGGCGGTGGGCTATCTGGATATGAATCCCCGTACTGCAGTGAGAGCAGCGGCCCTGGACAAAGAGGAGAAGATCAGCGGGACTGGCACATGAAGACAGACTAGCCAGGCCGGGATTACATCTTCAAGGGGGGCGTGCAGAAACGACCACCCTGGCTCGGGCCCTCTTGTGAGCTAGCCTCCCAGGACTCTGCAGAGGCAGGGGACCCCCCCAAGTGAGAGCCGCAGACGGGGTGGGTGGTAAGGCATGTGGTGCATGATGGGGAAACAGGGGTGGGCGATTAGGGCCGTTCTGTCTTTGATGCCAGCTCCCTGTCATCAGGGCCAGCCGGGGTACGCTTAGATGGGGGTCGTCGATTTGAGAGGGTGTACACGTACGGCACGGTAAGGCGTGAGCTTTGGAGATGGAGGCGGAGGATATGGAGACACCCTGTATAGTATAGCCAGTTGCGCTGCTAAAAGCAAAACGGAGCAGAAAACAGCAAAACGCCAGCCGAAGATGCAGAAATGACTCCCGGCATACCAAGAGTCAATGCATGGACTGGGACTGGCACATGGACGTGAATGCGATTCCGCGCAGACCACCCCCCCTCCCACCTCCTTCCGCTCAGTCGTAGGTAGCAGCAGTAGCATAGCTTGCTACTTGTAAGCTGAGGATGAAGAACGGTTGAAACTCGCAGCCATCCTCTTTGGGTGCGAGCGAAACGTTTCCTCTCGATGCTATCGTGGATGTAAGATGAAACTTGTAATCATATGTTTCTATTTCCATCTTGTCGGTCACGCCGTCGCCGGCGAAACAGCAGCAGAAGCCTCTTGCCAGTAGTACTGCTCCCAATTTCAAGACCTCTGGTCCACAGCATCAGCAAATAACCGAGGATGTGAAGCACGGAGTAGCTGGCGCTTCTATTATAGTACAAGCAGGCGGGATGCCCCGAACGGAGCAGACAGAGCGAGAGCTGACGGAAACAATAACGGACAGCAGCCCCTCTACTCTCCCGGGAGCCACTTGTTTACTGCTAAAGAAGGGATGAAATCAGACAATGCCCTTGAGCCTGGTTTGGCGCACAGTAGCTGGGACGAGACCGTGTACTCCGGAGCAGCGAGGCGCTAAGAAGCCCCGGGAGCGGCTACCATTTGGTGTCTAGCGTTGCTGTGGCTCCAATTGCACAGGTCCTTTTGCAAAATCCACTGCGAGCCCACTCGCGGCGCCGGCCTTGTTGCTTGTACGCAGATATGCCCCAAATGACAGTTAGCATATCGCTCGCGGACTCGGCCGCCGCATGGCCATAGTCTGGGTGCCTGAGAGCGAGTGCTGAGGCCGGTCTTTAGATTACGATGCAGTAATGAGGCTCGGCGTGTATCTGGTAAAGCCGGCGACATGTCACCCGCTACGGGTTGAAATGTTCAGCTAGTCATCTCGGCCGAACAATCTGGCGCATCTGCCGTTATCAGATTCCACTAACCCGCTTGTCAAGCCAGCTCGAGCACGGAGTAAAGAGTCCTCGAAATTGGGAGCACGCTCGAGCCCGCGGTCCTTGAGTATGTAAGAGCGCGTTTGAAGGGCGCCGCCCCTCGAAGAAGAGCATTGTCAAACAAGCCCAAACCCTGTGCCCCGGGGAGGGGCATCGTGAGACTGACGAGTGACGCAAATGAGGGAGGGCCAAGGTGCAACACTACCCACCATTGCATGTGAGCAGCGGCCGCGCACTCACCAACACCCAACCTGGCCCTCGAGATTCCAGTTGGAATGGGAAAACGACTGCTTGACGAGCTGCAGTCGGTGTCTGTCTTGTGGGGAGCGGGCGCGGGTCGTGGTGCTGGTTGCTGGTCTGACCTGTTTGTTGCGTGATGGATGGTGAGTGGACGAGCAAGGTGTGTGTCGTGGGAAACCCGTCCGAGTGCCGGGAAATTTTTTGCATCGGCAAAAGAAAGCGTGCCCCTCTATTCCGCAAAGCTCCCCCGTCTCTTCTGCGCCCGACGTCTTCTTCGCTGGCGAGCTGAGAGCCTCGTCCTGGAATCTAGGCGTCGGAATAGGGGCATTCCATTGCTGGACACCGCTTACACGCCGGACCTGCCATGATTGTCAGGGCCAAGAGCGGGTAACCAATTTGTCGGGAGCTGTGCTCCGTAGCAGCAGCAGCACGCAGCATGACTGATGGAGCGTGCGGCGCAGAGACGGAAAAGATTCGAGCCACTCTATACGTGCGACACTGGGCATGGAAGACCGTTTAGGAAAAAGCCACCAACCGCGAGCCCGGATAGACCCCGCTGTGTGCTAGCGGGCTAGTGCTGGTAATGCCGTGGCAGTCGCTGGCTAATCGCGGTGCTACCTAGACTGCAGCACTCCGCAGTCTTTGGAATTCGAGCTGTTGGTTCACAGAGAGTCATATGGAACTTTCGAGCTGGCTTCTACCAACAGTTCCAAGACAGGATCACGTTGGCGCCTTAGTTCTTCCAGACTACTGTGTACTACTGTGGTGCGCTGTAGATCTCTCGTTGGTGTTGGCAGCCGCCATGTCGTAAGGCGGTCACGGAGACGTCGCGGGCGGCGCTGCGCTTGCCTGGTGCCCGCGTTTAGCTCTTGCCGCCACTCCCCGCCGTCCACTGCTAGCTACAAGGGCCAAAGTAGAGCTGCTGCACCTGCAGAGGCACTTACTGTGCTAAAGGCGCGGTGCTGTACTTCCCCCAAAGGTCACCTAATTCATCATTCTGCGTGCTGCTACAGTATGCCACCACCACTACCCATCCCGCCTGCCAAGACACATGCCCATGCGCCCTTTCCCTCTGAAGCTAAAAGCAGCTTCAACGTAACCCAAAGTCATCCCCTTCAAACCACTTACATCATCTGGCAGAAAGCCACACTGAGCTAGGCCTATGGCTTGCATGTCGAGGGCCATGACAGTGATCAACAGGAGAGCGTCGATACCGTTGAGATAGCCGGCTTGCTGATCAGCCAATCCATGCGCGCATCTTCTGCGGTCGACTTTTATCCGTGACCTGGGCCGCCGATCGCCCAGCTGGCGTGATGTGCTGCGCGGCGCACGTGTGAGCAGATGCGGCAGCGTCTGGATACTTACTCGTGCAGCTGCTAATGCCTACAGGTACTACTACAGTGGGAGTGCCAGCGCAGACTAAAGACTGCTCCCTTTGACTCCGCCCAGCAAGCAGCCTGCGAAGGGGCTAGAAAAAAAGAAGAACAGAAAACAATTCCATCCAGGCACGCAAGACCTGTTGCTCGCACCAATGTTTTAGTTGCGGCAATCGCTTGATGCCGAGTGGAACTGCTTGAGATGCAGTAAAATGAAGGACCGTCTCGGCGCTGGAGACGGTATCAGAACGGAGCCCAAAGTGTGGCACAACCGCCGGCTGGGCGGTGTCATTGGACGAGCCGCAAACGCTCAGCACAGCGAAGAGAGTCGGCAGCGGCGCATCAGATCAGCCGGGCGACATCATCTGATCTGAGACCGCATCGGCCGGTGGCGAGATGCCCATCCCTCCAAGATTGCCGCGACGTGTGAAACTGCCTGGGACAGGCCACCGCGTGTTTCTGAACTTACTCGCGGGTGTCTCTAGGTGCTCTGCGCATGTCAATGCGCCGTCTGAGGGGCCGTTGGAGGAAACGGAGCGCCTCCGTTAAGGCTTCCTAGAGCCACAGGCACAAGTGCCAGCGTGCCGCGTGTGGAGTGCGCTACACCCCTCCCCCACTGCGCCACCAGGTACCATCTGCTGGTGTTGTGCTGGAACTGGTACCCTTCGATTGATGCTTTCCACGAGTTAGTACTACTGTAGCTCGCTCGCTTCCATGGACAGGTTGGGACAGTTGTCACCCTTGCTGTTGTTGCTTGGCGAAAAGCTCGGCATCAAATGCAGCCTCCGTCTGCCCAGACGCCTTGTGCAGCGTGCGAGCATCTCCAGCGTTTCTGTTTACTCACATGCGTGGGATGCCTGATGTCAGCCAACGTGTAACGGTACGGGCACGCAACACTGCCGCCGCCGTACAAGTACTCGCCTGGTATAGACAGGTGTGTGTCCAATAGGACAGGGAACCGGGGTTTTGCAGCAACCTCGCCAGATTGCCTATTGATGCATCTGCCCGTCTTGCAACCAACAGAAATCGCTCTTCTGGAAACATGCTGTGGTGCTGCGTCCAGGCATTGGCCGCTCATTTCCCCCTAGTCGCTGAGTTCATGCGAAAGCCACGCGAGACACCGAGTCTCGAAACAGGTCGTGGGATGATTGTCTGGGTACGCTAATGTTTGTTGCTGTTGACAATGCTAGCCGTCATTTTTTTCTTCTCGCTTTTTCTTTCTCTTAACTAAGAAAAATCTCTACCCCTTGTCTGTTCTTCTCGGTCGCAGGTTTCGGACTTGTCAATGAGCCAGGCGCTAGACATCTATCGCCTAGGCTCTCTTCCACAACAAGTAGTATCAGCGGCATCTCGGAGAAATCGTGCGCGCCCTCTTCACACTCACATGGAGGCTGTGGCGGGCCAGGGGCGTCTTGGTCATGGTACTATTTCGGGCAAAGTCCTCCGTGAGAAGTGAGTCTCAGAAGGCATTGCTACAGCTCTCTGATTGGCCAGTTGACTCGAATGATTGTGGTGCGATTAGTTATCTCCAATTGGACAAAGAGCACGGCTGATAAAGTAAAGCCCAATTTAAGCTCGCCGCCACACATGTAGGTGTAGGCTCGCGCCACTCTCCACCAGACGACCGTCTTGCTTCAACCCTCACCGTCGCTCATCAGCTGCCCGCTTACAATGGAAATCGTGGCATCGTGACCGGATTGGGTCAACAGGTGGCGGCTCCGGCGTGTCGATCACCGACGGCTCCACCAAACAAAGCGCGTATCGACCCTTGCCATCCAAGACATGCAGCTAGGTCGACTTCTGCCCAAGACTTGGTGTGTCGCTAGCACCACCCATCCTGTCAGCTCTCAGCTCTCAGTGGCCTCGCTGCCAAAAGCCAACTGTCCACGGGTAACGCTGTGTGTGCGTGCCGGTTCAGACGGTAGGGGTCGGACGGAGCCTGCGAGTACAGTGAGTCGTCGACTCGCGGAGGAGGGGCCCAATCGGACATGATCGATTGTGCAAAACCAGATGGCGGTTTCAAAGGCGGCATTCGCATTTAATTCAGGATCAAGATGCCTACGAATGGCTGTTGCTTACTGCGTGCCTGCCACGGCTCCTTCGGACAGCTGTTGTTCCTCGGTGTCGATTTTGACAAGAATCAGTGCTGATGCTGAGGCCTTCACGGACTACTCCGTAGGATTGCGGACCTCGACGGCACCTTTAACCCCCATTGGCGCCCAGTTTCATTCTTGTCGATTACCCTACAAGGAGCACTGCAACCGTATGATTCCCACTGCTGGGGAGCGCATGAGTGGGCCGGTCCAGAGCTGCAGTCGCATCGTGAACTTGCTTCAGTCGGGTATCTAGTCGATTATAGTCGACGCCGTTTTCCCCCTTCCTGGCATGCTGGAAACACGGGATGGCAGGCAGTGATCTCATTGCCTTAGCAGGCGAACGAATGCTACGCTCCTCCGGGCATCACGATAACGGGAAACGCCTCGTCCTTCCCCAGGCCCGAGCTCCATGTGCTACTCTCAAGGGCGAACCTTATCACCAAGACTATTGAGCTGCCTGTAAAGCGCGCTCCGAAGAACCACCACGATCCGCCCAGGCCGAGGCGCCAGGAACGCACGAGCTTGTAGCATTGCAAAGCGGAGCGGCCATGCTTCGGCCATGGCAGGTATCCATTCGCTTTACCCGCATCGTACCTGTATACGATGGCGTTATCACTCGGTGGGGGCATGTGAAGAAACGAGAGAAGTTAAGGTTGATAGGATGGAATGGAGAGAAGAAAATTTTTCTCTCCAGAGCTCACCCAGCTACGAGCAAAGTGACAGGTGATAAGGGCTGCAGCGACGGGCTGGTGCATGTAAAAAAAGTTCCAGCTTGTGCGCACGATAACGCAGCAACAAGTCGTCAGGGGAGCAGCCCACCTTTTGGTTGATGTTGTTGACGCATGTGCCACTTGGCGCGCATGCTATTCCTACCTCGTCATGCTACCAAACCGCACAGTAAATGACGGTGCGGGTTCACGGGACTGAACAGCGGATAAGTTGCTAAAGAAGATGAAGAATGCAGCGTGGAAATCCAGCCTACTCGAGGCCGTCAAAGTCTAAACCTCAGCAGGCCCCAAAAGTTCCATTTTGGCGAGAGGCGTAGAAGGGTGGCGTAAGATGCGATCCTGCTGTTGGGCGAATAGCGCTTGATGCCGAGAGATCTTCCCGCCTTGACGGGTGTGTCATCTCAGGTGATCGTTCTGCCTGACCTCCCACATTCCGCCGCTTACTTAATCAGATCGATTGGTCCAGCAGAGCTGGTGCCTGAGGTGCTGGCCCTTTTTGCGGAGGCTTATGTAAGTGTGCTCTCGAGAGATGCGGTTGTCTTCATCGGCTCCTGCCTGTGCTACTTGCGAAAAGTGCTCACCGCTTGATTTGGAGAGCTGTCAAACTACAATGGAATAAAATGTGGGATTCGGATCGCTCATCTAACTCTTGGCGACCTAGATTCGAGCCAAATGCCGGAGGTGTCCCTGAATAGGGATAGTATCACGATCTGTGCGGGCAGCATATGAGCTCTTAGCTCTGTTTTGAGCCAGCAACAGCATCGAGTGGCCGGCAAGTCTCTCTTCCGACAGCCCGCGCAGCAGAGGAGATGGCGACGCGAGATGCGGTCTCCGCGGATACCCTACGCCAGGCTACGGTACCTGCGATTTGAGAGGAGAGAGACACAGAGGGATGTGAAGCGGTAATTTACAACTTGTGCTGGTACCTGGCAATTCAACTCACATGGCTAACGTTGCTAGCAAACATGAACGAAAAATTCCCGAATCTGACTATGGAATCCTGCGAGAGCCTGGGTTCGATGCATCAGCGAGGCAGGCAAATCCCGCCACCCGCCACGCCCAACCCCGGATCTACCAGCATACATGTACGAGTAGAACTAGTACTACTGTACGAGCCATCCCGCCTGGTCCTACCGCTCACGACATTTGGCGGAGAGGCTGCCATAGCTACATGCGTACTCGTATGCCATGCCGTGATGGGTCTATCTACGTATACACAGATGGCTACGTACAAACTTGTACAAGCAAAGAGCCAAGACGTGGGACTATCGTTACTCCCCGATTGGCTGAGCCATGAGAGCCGATTAAGAGTACAACGTTGCAGCAATGCCTCGATATCTCTTGCGCCTGCTGCCGTTTATCCACCCTCCTTCACCTCTAGACGGCGACGAGCTCTTCAACTAAGTATGTACTATAGCTTTATCTTTAGCTCTAGTACAGAGCTCTCACACGTCAAGCGGACGCTAATTGCCAGCATTATGGCATCGAGTCAAAATGTCTCACCCAGGCTTTACCTTTGACGTGTCCGAAGGCACCGAAGGATCACTAGGGGGGTTGTTCATCAGCCAAAGTACGAAACACTTCCTACGTTCGTGAAAACCTTTTTTTTTTTTTATGTGTATATTTAAACGCGTACAAGTGCCTCTATATGGCTCGTACCTTTCCTTAGCCTCCTGATTAGAGCCTTTTTGGAAGCAATTCCTGTACGGAGGACTGACTGATTCATCCTAGTGTAGACAACGGGGCCTTGAAAACTGGACCTAGTTTTCCGGGGTTGACAACCAGCCCTTTGATTGGTGGCTTCACTCTACGCCCCAGGAACTCAACCCGCGTTTTGACAAGCTCGCGGCCGGGGCGTGCGCGGAATAAAAGAGCTAAAGGAATCACTCCGATGATGAGCCGGGAAATAGCGGGGACCGGCGGTATTGCAGGCGGACGCTGGCGAAATGGACCGTCTCGAGGTTCCCCAGATTGACCAGACAATTCCAGCTGTCGGCTGACATGCTTCCCCGCAAAGACGGGTCGCTGGCCAACTGGCGGGCCATCAAGTTGTACGAATTTTGCCAACCCTGATCCCAATGCTGGTTTTCGAGACGTAATTGCAGAGCTTTGTCGCGTGGCGCGCGCTGCCGTATTCGGCATTGCCCTCCATGGGAGTTTATGAGAGATGCGTGCTGAGAAATGATGACTGCAAGCATACGCGAATTCAACGCTTACCCACTGGTAAGAACAAGTAGTTGTCAATTCGAGCCCCGTGGCTTTTGAGAGATCAGCGGTACTCAGGCGAGCAAAATAAGAAGCTTATTTGCCGAATACCTAGGCCCAGTATACGATTTCTCATCATTGGACCATATGTCCAGAATTGTCTCCGAGCCAAGTGGGCAACTAGGCTATTTCATCAATGGGAGTCGTCCCACATGCAGAGACATGGTAATGAGCCGCCCCAACAGCAATTTGCGGCCCGATGAATCTCGCATGCGCTTCTTGCTGAACCAACGTCGTGAACTGGTCAACACGTGGAATCCCCATGGGGTTTGATCTCAAGTTGTCCCAAACTCACTGCCATTCCGTCTCGGCTCCTACGTGGCGGCAGAGCTAGTACAGAGTGGCCATTGGAATGCAACACGGGTATCTGGCCACAAAAGTTCCCAGTCTCAACTGGAAGAAGGGCCAAAGCTCAGTCCATATAAAACACCAGCTAGGTACCTATATTTGCATGGCATGGACTGCCCAGGCCTTCAAGTGGGTTGCCAAGGCGAATCAGGTTTCAACGCAGCAGACTTGATCGGATATCAGGGTCTGCATATATGCGCTGAAGAAATTTTCGGTGATGCAATGGAACACCACTCGCTGCACCTTTTCCATGTGCATCTCCACTGTCAGGCTCTCGCCAAAAAGACCCCAAGTTACTCGTCAAGTAAGTGGCTATGGACTGTGTGATGCCGTCTAACACCTAGGTAGGCCTACTATGCATAAAAAAATTCTGCAAGCGAACAAGTTACCCCTCCAAGTCTTGCGGCGCCCTTGGCCACGCGCCATCTAGCGAACATGACATGCCACCGGTTGATCGCCGCCGGCTAGGACTATCGCCGTCGATAACCTCAGCCACGCGGAGTTGGGCAGGAAAACGGGCGCATGGATAGCATCTGGCTACAGCTGCAGCTGTGACCGCCCTCCTCTGGCCCTGGCATATCATGCAGGTGCAGCATCCTTCGAAGATTCTTAGCCACATATACTACTAGCTACTTTACATGTACCACACCACTAGGTATCTATTTGATCTGCCCGCATGCTAGGCGCTGGGCCGGAGGCTCAGATTCGTCGGCTACACTCTACCAAGTCTTTAGCTGGCTTTGGTTTCGACTTTGGCAGACATCAAAACTTCAGCAACCATTTGTCTAGCACTTGAGCACGGTTGCACCAAATTGTGCCGAGAGTAACCATGCGTGTATGCAGCCAAGCACGCAATCGAGAGGTATGTTTTTACACAGGCCTCTTCTGAAAGAAATGGTTCCTCACGAGGTACCACAAGAGACAGTGATGGTGTACGGGGCCTTATACAGTAGAGCGTCCAGAGACGAAAAGAAGAAGAAAATATGGAACATGCAAGTAGCAGCAGAAATACAGTACTACAACTACTGGAGCCACCACCGGGCCCTGCTAGTAGTGGTATGAGTCGGCGGCAATATTCACACCGCGCCCCTGCTCAAGACCTCAAACTCGAAAGGTGGATGAGTTTCGAGCTGCCTACATCCACTTGCACGCTGGTTTCCGAAATGAATCATTATGCATGGCAAGTGGGCATACAGCGTCGCATTCTTCGCTGTTTTCCCTCAGTCTACGGCTGCATTGGAACGACAGGCTAAAAGACCCAGGCTGCAGAAATGGAGAGAGATACGGTCAGGTGCGTTATAAACGGCGGCTACGGAGTACGCCGTGCTTGCTCCTCCAGTTGCCCCACATGAAGACTTCTGCATGCTTTGGCAAGGTTGTTTATGTGCGGTTTTATTTCTTGTTTGGTTCTCTTTTTTCTATCACATTTGCTTCTTGCTACGGAGTTCTGACTATGCCGCGGTACAAAAAGCAACTTTACGAGCAATTTCATCAAGCCGCTCTTTTTCTCATGGTGTATATGAGACTAACTTAGACAAGGTGGCATAAACTGCATGATACGTTTGATCTCTTCGTTTTTGACTCGGTCTATATGAAGATAATAGATGAACTCCCATCCCTCCTCTTATCTCATCTAGTTCTTTTCTCATTTACTGATAGAGCGGAGCTGCTAACATGTCGATAGCTTGCGGCATGTCTCACCCTAGGGGATAATCAACAATGGGCGATGGCCTGTCTCCCCAGTATTTGGCAGACTACTACTACGACTTCGTACAAGTACGGATGTGGCGACAGCCGCTGATGGCTTGCGTCTGTACCCCGGACCTTGGCTGTCGAGGTAACATTTCCTTTTATGCGACATGGAACGCTACATTCGAGCTGTCGACTGGGGTGACACTGCAGCCGTAAAATACCCCTTGAGGAAGGTATGAAGCCCTTTCCATGTCAAAGTGGTAACATGTCCTGCCCACGTCGACTCGAATTGAGGCAGTTAAGTTTACATTTCCTGGACTGACGTATTCAATCTTACAGAGTAGCATGTAAGAAAAATGACCTGCAGCTTTCAAAGCGTGGCTAGCTATTCCCACCATCCTGGCACTGGAACCCTCCTTTGTCGTGGTACACTTACAAGTACTATAGAAGGACAGCCACTGGCCGTTGCCCGATTGGGCCCTTGCATGAAGCTCTGCAAGGTAGACATGCGGATGTGGGATTCACAGCCGCAGTTCCCGAAGGCCTTTGGAGGGTGGCAGCAGGGCCAGACACTGCTGCTGCTCCTCCATGTCTATCGATTGCATGATCTAGGGACACCGCACCCTACATCTTCGGTAAGGCATGTCCTTCGATCTTGCCACTGGGCTAGCCACTGAGACACAATATCGCTCGTCAACTTATCCAGGAACCGAGGCCCCCTTTGTTTAAACCAGTGGCTCGGACGACTCCCGACTCCTCAGCATTGTCCATTCGCGGTGTGCTCATGCGTTGCACTGAATGTGGGGATATTTGGCTTGCCTTACCCTGCGATCGCTTGACGGCTCAACTGCTGATCGCTGTTTTCTCTTATCTCCATCTTTATTCCCTAGATTATTCATACAGCATACAGAGCTGTAAGCTGGGTATGAGGAGAATAGAGCTGAGCTGCGGACGGCAGAGACCGGAAAGGCATCGCGATAGGGGCAGAGTTTATTTAAAGCGGCTGCCTGAAGCCAAATTACATACTTGGCAGCGGGTCTATTGTAGTGAGCGATAGGGCCGCGCTGCCTCTTTTCGTGCTCTTCTGCGCTGCCTGCTGAGCCGTCGATTCTTCAAAGAGTCCGGGGCCCGGAGTTGGCCATTCCCCAGCGGTACAAGCATATAAACAGGTAGCGATCGTCGATACGCGCCCCTCTCTCTCTTCCCCTCCACAGAAGAGCTACGACGACAAGGGAAATAGGGTCTTGGTCTTGCCAAAGGGTCCTTTCGCCATTGCCTTATCATTGCTCGATGTCGACGCGTTGCCACAAACGGCATGGGTGTCGCTCTGCGCATGCACCGAACACTGCTTTTGTGCTTTGGAGAGAAAAACGAACTTTTGCCGCTGCTCCACCCTCCCACGTCGCTCCCATACCGTAGAGATTGGAGAGGGGCAACGCGGCTAGGCAGGATTGCAGTAGCCTGGCCGGGCGAACACATGTACGAGAGCGAATTTGGAGGCGAGCGCGGGGTTTCGCTGTGTCTGCGGTATTCGCTGCGATTCTTTCTTGGTGTCTGGCGAGAGAGCCTAGAGAGATTACCGAAAAAACGCACCCAGGATTGAGAGCAAAGTCCTTTTGCGGCGTTCGCCATTCATTTTGTCTTTGTTTACTTCTTGCCTCCCCCCACTTTCTGCGCTTTCGCCTTTCGCCTCATCTACCGCCTTTATGACAAAGTTGCTGCGGGTGTGTGTTTGGTTATTCTGCATGCTACTTCACATCCAGAATTGTAACAGCGAGTGGAGATTTCTCAAACCGAGAAGAACAAAATGCCTTGAAGCAACTCGAGGGAAGAAACACGAGGCTCAATGCTGAGCTCAGTCTCATAGGGTGTCTTTTTGTCGTAAAAAGAGGAGAATGGAAGAGAAAACAAAAAAAAAAGGTGAGTGGATTTCCAGCGTATCGGTGGCTTGCTACGGTATCATCATCCCCATTCTGCTGCTTTTCCAGATACGAAAGACGTAATGAGTAGAAGCATGGTTCGTATCCACGCAAAACACGACGCTAGGATCGTGATAAGGGAGATTGCACTTTTGTCTTTTCGACTAAGGTTGTTTTTTTTGTCTTCTTTTGTCATTTCTATCTCCTCCTATCAATGAGCGCCAAAAAAAACCCCCACTTGTACATACATGGCCTGCTATCTTTCATCTTTCTCCATCAGTATCAAACGGGCGCATCATAGTTTATCATCATCGAGGGTATGAAACAAAATGCAAAAGGTCCCTAAGCGAGACTGGCCCTTTTTCTTTTCTTTTTGTTTCCGTGTAGAGAGGCTAGACTAGGATATATGCCAGGATAGTATATTGAGGGAGGCTAGATAGAATAGTATGAGTATAGTAGTAGTACACTGTATATTCTTAGTAGAACGAAGAAAAAATAAAATAAAAAGCAAAGCAAAGCCCAAAAAAGAAACGAGAAAAAGGTGTCGGAGGGTTATGCGGCAGGGTTGTGATGAGGGTTTTTTTTTTGTTGGTTGGTGTGCCCTTCTTGATGATGCAATTTGGGCTAATCTAGGTACATCGTGGAACCTGATCCTTCAGTTGTTTTGGAGGATCCGATGCATTTTCTAGAACATCAAGGTGAAGAAGATGGATTGTGAGCCATGTTCCCACAGGCAGCGTACTGTTTGACAATTTATCGAGGCATGCTATAAAAACCAAAGAATATTAAGGTGATACAATTCCAAATACTATTCTCTTCCGCTTGCCATCAAAGAGATCACACAAATGCGTTTCATTCATCCAAGTCGGCGAATATTACTCTTTTCGTTACCGAATTATACAAACTGCATTGATGCTTAAATAGCACATGGTGTTCACAACCAAACAGGAACAACCCAATCTATCTAAGCTCAAGAATGTCATCGTAAAGGGCCGTCATTGGTTGGCCGCTGTAAGCATATCTCGTCACATTTCGCAAGAAGGATTCGGACTGTATTCTCCGAATGGGTGCGTAGCTGGGCGGTTAATCTGCAGAGTGAATGCAGGTTGACAATATGACTCAAGTACGTGCCTTCATGTTGGATTCGTTGGCGAACCTTCAAGTCACGGTAATGGGGTGCGATGTATCATAGAAAGAACAAAATATTAACTGAGATATAGGGGAATTACCAACTATAGTCGTTCCCATCCGTCAATGTAGAGGAACCTCAGGTTCAAGAATAACCATCCACATCTCGGGACTGGTAAATAAAATAGCATCATGGGTCAAATTGTGCACACAAGCGGAGCCTTTGCATGTGCTCTTCCATCAATACACTTGAGCAAATGAATAGTCTCCTTCATCTAAGGGTGCCTAGAGGCTCTTCTCTTTCCTTTCAACTAATTAAACCAACTTATACAACGCTCATCTCATATATCACATTATATTTACAACAAAACAGCAGCGACGGCGCCGGCGATCAGGGCAACCATGGCAGGGGCGCGGAATTCAGCGGCTCCAGCCGGGACGGGAGGCAGGCCGGATTGGGCAGGCTGAGATGGAGCAGCGCCGCTAGGGGCGACGACGGTTGTCAAGCCACCGGTAGGAAGGGGGCCAGAGCCCGGCGTGATAACTGGAGGAACGACAGCCGGAGAAGAAACAGCGTGCTGAGGCGGTGCCGGCGGGTAGTAGGCGGACTGAGCCGGGCTGGTGACAGCAGGGGCTGTGGCTGATGAAGCTGCATTGGTTAAGATGGGAGTCGAAGCAATGCCGGAGGGAGTGGGGACCGCAGCAGCACCACAGCTGGCGCATGAGGGGATCGCAACGGGAGCCGTCTGGGTGACGATGGGGGTGACAACAATGACGTGAGGCGCCGTGTGAGGGTTGGAGCAAGAGTCCTTGCCCTGAGGACAGGTGTAAGTGTTGGGTAGCGTGAAGGTGGCGGTGATTTCGGGAGCCGCAGGCACGCTGGGGAAAGCAGTAGGACTGGAATCCTCAACGGGGCACCAAGTCGTGTAGGCAGTAACAACCTCGGTCGTGACGTGGCCAACAGGGCAGTTGGTGACACTGGGTGGGCAAGAGGTGATGGTATACACGTTGGTCGTGGTGAAAGTCGAGGTGTAAGTTGGAGCGGCAGTGGTACCGGATGCGGGCGCGGTGGTGGTGTCAAGCTGGGTAGCAGCGGCCGAGCTAATCTCAGAGATAACGGTGGTGCTGCCATGCGGGACGCTGTAGGTAACAGTGCCGTTGGCAAACCGGTGAGAGGAGGTCGTGGCCTTGAATCCGCTGGTAGCCGGTGCAGTGGTGGTGATGGCGCCAGATGTGGTAGTGGCCGCTGCAGACGTCGAGACGCGCGCAGAGGTGCTGGCGGCAGAAGAGGTGGTTTGTACAGCAGACGTGGTTGTTTGGCCAGCAGCAGCGCAATCACCCTTGAGGCCGGATGGGACAGCGTCGGCACCCTTGCCGATGGGAATCAGGTGTGTACCGCAGTCCTCGTTCTTGGCAACGTGAATGTTTTTGTTGTCCCAGTCAAAGACCACATAGGCAGCTCTCAAGAAAGTGTCGCCGAGAACGGGGAAGTCGTCATCCTGAGAAACACCAAGCTTGCAGATGCCCAGGTCAGGCTGCTGCCAGATAAAGTCCTTGTAGTCAACGCTGACAACGGCATCGCCAAACTTGAAGTTGACTGATCCGAGGGTATCGATGATATCGCAGGGTACCAAGTAATCGCCAGAGCTAGCCTCAATGTGAGCCGAAGGGAAAGCTGCGAGGATCTTTGAGAAGATAGAGCCAGGAAGAGTGCTGACGGTGTAGCCACTGTCGAGAAGCACCGGCTGGCCGTTGGGCTTGTTGAAGACTTCGACGTGGGATCCATCCTCGGTGGTAATAGTGATACCATCCATGTAGATCCAGTAGCGAGTATAACCATCCGGAGACGAGGCGGCGGGAATGATGGGTCGCTTCACCAGGGGACCGGAAAACTTCTTGGTGTCGATACCACCGTAGATGACGGAACCTCGGTCGCTGTCAAGGCCTCGGATATCGAGACTGAAAGCTCTGCTGTTGATGAAGCCTTGCGTAGCCAAGTTGTCAATGACAAGAGGGTAAGAACTAGTCCAGCCACTCAGGTTAGGACCAGCACCGAGGATACCAATCGAGGCAAATTCACTGTCAGTCGCAACACCGAAAAGCTGCTGGCTGATTCTGGAAGCTGTATTGCGAGTTAGCAAATGTTTTCTTTTCCCCTGCATACTCCATTGTCCTCGTCCAAAAAGCTCTTCTCTTGGTAGCCTTGCTCCGAGTAGTTGGATATGATATATCGCGAGGCCGTCTTTCATCCTCTCCCTCACATAGCAACTCTTTCCGAAGTGGCAAGAAGAACTGAAAACCATGCATAAACTTACAGCCAAGCTGGACATAGTCGTATCCGTAGGTGAAATCGACATATCCGGTGCCGTACTTGATACCGCCGTCGGCCTTGGTGTCGACAAAAGTCTTTGATGCGTTGTATCGGCCAAAGCTCTGGCAAAAAGCTGGATCGGTAGCCTTGCTGCACTCGGGATTGACCCATAGCTCGGAAGAGCCTGTATCGAAATTGACGCTCACTGCCTGCGGTGGGGTACCGATTTCGAGTTCGATGCTGTAAAAGTAACCAGTCTCCTGGGATTGCAGTTCGGCGCTGTCCTGGCGTCTGTGGAGGTGCTTAGAACGGGCACCTTTGGAAGCAGTAATAGAATATCGCATAATGCCGCCCTCCTCGACGTTCTTGTTGTCGTCGAGGAATTCGAGGGCCTGAGCCGCAAGCGGCCATGCCGCGAGCGCATAAAGAGTGGAACGCATGCTGTGAGAGTATGCAAAACAATGCCGGCGTAAAGAATGACCGGCAGAGAAGCTGTATTAGAAGCCAAAAAAAAAAAAGAATGAAAGACTGAAAATCAGTTGGATAAAGAAAGGGAGTGACGTGGGTGAGAAGAAGGGAGACCTCTAAAGTAGAGGGAGCGAGCTGGCTCAGGGCAGCATTATGTATAATTAAAGCAATTCCCTGCCTGCGTGTGGATAGCTCTGGTTCACCTTGACGAGCGAAGAGCAACCCATGGCCGTCGCGTGGGTCTCTATGCACGAATGGCGTTGCTTCAACAAGCAAAACGGCCACAGGGTTGCGCCAGTACGACGGCTCTGCTGGCGTCTGTTTGGGCCAAGCCGCCGGCAGTGGGTAACGGGAGCACAGAGGAAATGAAGACGGGCCAGGGGAAGGCGGAGAGCTCCCGCCTTTCCACCTCCTCGTTGTGGCAATAGACTAAAGAGCTAAAGAGGCGCTTGAGCGTAGCACCAGCCTGAGAGGCCTCTGCTTTTTACAGCTCCAATCGGCCGAGTCTTGTTGCAGAACAGAGAGCAGTGCATCAGCTATATTCCCCATGCTGAAGCACCATGCCATGGATCTGTATGCTTGGATCGTGCGTGGTGATGCTCGTATACGGTTCGGCTTTGTTTGTCAAAAAGCGATTGCACTCCTTTCTCGTGTCATTCCCCGTATCTTTCTCTTGGCTAGATCTTCAGCTTTACCGCCCTGTCCCCTTGGGAGATAGAAGCAGGTGATGGCAGGCTGACAGGCTTGCTGCTCTCAGCTACCGAAAGAGGAGGGGGAGAATATGCTTCTTAGGGCCTTGGCGGCGATCCTGAAATCAAGAAATTATGAACGTCCAAGTACGTACAAGTACGCTCCTCGGCTAGTCCTCTCTGGCATCGGTCGATATACTCGTCGATCCTTCTTGTCTTTGAGGCTGTGACCGCTGCGCCAATTGGCGGGATGCGAAGTTAAACTCCAAGCCCATCACCCGTTAAGGCAAAGACAGGCGCCTCGTGTGGAGGAAACGAGAGAAAGAAACGCTTCGGTAGCGTTAATTGAACACGACGGATGGGGCTGAACCACTGGACGTGAGGACTGGAGACAGGGATCCGATATAAAGGGGGTCCGAGCTGAACACCAACAGCCGTCCGTTAATATCGCAGGGTTTCGCGTAAGAGAACAGACGAAACGAAACAAACGGGTCGCCAAGACAAATGCGGGTGCGTACCGACAGCTGAGCAGCTCTCCTGCACATGTTTATTCAAATCTGATGATGATCAAGCCGCCAGATGGAAAAAACGAACCTGTGCTGATTGTATCTCTGCCAATGGCCTTCTGCGGCGACAACGATGAAGGAAAGATGATGAGTGGATCCGCCATGTTTCGGTTCCTGCATTAGACCCAAGACGCTTATCGCTTAGTTTAGGTGCTTAGTGCCCCTTTTTGGCTCTTAGCGACTACGCGCTGCAGGGGTTGCCCATCGGTACGAGCCTGTGATTGCAGTAGAGGCCTGTAAAGGCGCTGATAAGGCGCAGATACAGGGCTGTTAAGGCACCAAACGTGTTGATGAGCTGCTACAACAACATTGATCACCACCGGCACGTACATGTACACGTAGTTTTGTAAATCACCTGCATGTAATGGCTTCGTATTGGTGGTTGTAACATTGACCATTCAAATTTTAATAAGTGAGCTACCCTTAGTGAACAAACTGGCTTTGAAGCATCCATCCCCAGTTCTTTGTCGCTCTGGCGTCGATGGATTTAGTGCACCAAGCACTCCATAAATAGACATAAGGAGGCAGCCTGTGAAAAATAAAAGTACCAGACATGAGTAGATTATGGGGTATGGATTTACGGTGCTACTGTAATTTACTCTTGGTAAGGCTACTGATCTCTAGTACATCGCATGGTTTGGTTGTAACTTCTAAGATTGCGTCGTTCTCCGGCAATTTGCCTTGGCTGCAAGAATAAATCTAGAGTACAAGAATATGGCCTGCCTTGTATTTCTTGCTTGATAAATCAGCTGTAATTACTTCTAGGAGGGCTGGTATTGATATGTAGCTACGTTCAGTACTCGCTTATACGCGAACTAAGCCAGAGCGGACAAGCAGAGACCATCGTACACAATAATTAACCGAGCTGCCCGACGCAATTGAGACCTATTCTGTGCACCGTCGCAGCTGCTATTAAATTCCTTGACCTGTTTTGCTCTGTAGTACTATATTTCAGCTTGCTTGAAGGGTAGTATTATCTGTCACCTGGCTGTACATGATCGTCATACACCTTAGACTGCGTATGAGATGCTTAAAGATTGGTACAGGACAAAGTGAAGAATCAAATTTTCATCTTGCTGAAAATGGTTAATGAAATCTTAAGCATGATGAGCAAGCAATTTTAATATCGATTGCGGAATACGTGACACTACAGGCCGACTTGCGTTTGGCACGAGATATAATGTGTAAGATTGGAATATGCTTGTAATTAGACTTGACTTGGTGGATTTACCGGATACATATTACGTATCGCTTGATTTCGAGGGCGTTCTGCGTGTCAACTAGAAATTTAAAGCTTTGTTTTTTTCGTGTCTTTCCCTCTATAAGAAGAAAGCCGGATAGGTTTGTGGTGGAAGTTACAATGCCAGTGCGATTTTTTAGGGTAGTCCAACGTAAGTGTGCTGACCTTGTGCGAAATGGATGGATGTCATTTTAGACTCTGCTTTCCACTGCTAGATGCCTAAAGTTCAAGATGTTGCGGGCGCACCCGTAAGCTATTCCGATCTCGAGGACTCAAGACCCTGTAGGGTAATTTGGCTGCCAAATCCTGGGCAGCGTGATTATTACATGTTATGCAAAATAAAGCGACGTTTAAGGCGCTGTTTTATGTATACCCGCACACATACTTGCTGGTTCGATTAGGCCTATAAAGTACATAAGTACAGTGAGCTGAAAAACGTCTTACCAGTTACACGCAGAAGCAAAGATCGAACGACATTCCGGAGAGCAAGAGGCTCTTGTTTGCATTAAATATACGCCGCAATAATATACATTTCCATTCGTCCTATTAGGTGGAACGCAGGGGGCCTTGGGAGCCGAGGTACGAAGTAAAAGCGACTATCAAGCTGAAAGAATCAGTGTAGTAATTGCTATATCGTCATCGAGCGGGCTCATATTTTTTGCCGGGCTTCCGCGTTGTCGTAGCGTACATTCATTCGGATGAATTTCAAAGCCGAGGACGCCTTTGATTTGAAACCAACGTAAATGCATAGCTGTCGTAATCACAACCGAACAGCAGCTGTTTTCTCAGATGCAAGATGCGTGGCGACTTCTTGTCGTATTTGCGCAGTTGGTTGGCTGTATTATATAATCAGAGGGATCAGTTAGGCGAATGCGAGTCCGACGTGGGAAAAGAGAAAGCCACAATCCAGATGAGTAATCGAGCGATGAGCTCTGCATATCGATGCTTCAATCATTCAAAAAATGGGCAATAGATGATGTATACTCTCCTCGCACTCGGATTTCAGATAGGCAAAGGAACTGCGAGTTGCGACGCATATATACAAATGCCTAGACGAGTGGGGAATGTAGCATCGGCGTTATAAGCGCGTTGGTCCCTCGCTAAAAACCAAAGATTTCTGTCCGGACAGATTTCGCTTCAAATTAAAGCAACAGCTTGACTCTTTTCTCTCTTTGTAAGGCTTCACACGATAACTAGAAAATGTTTGGACTATTCGGCACCCAATTTTCTCCCGAAAAGGACATACCTTCGCAGGAAGGAAAAGTAATTGTCGTTACTGGAGGGTTAGTTCCCGCGCTCTAATTTCTTACCTGAGATCTATGCATCTCATCCTTTAGCTGCGCCAAGATTGAGCCTTGAACTGACACAGGTGGGTTGAACAGCAATGCTGGAATTGGCAAAGAGACTATACTGCAGCTATGCAAGCACTCGCCGAAAAAGGTCTTCTTAGCCACCAGGAATGAGGCGAAGGCGAAAGACGCCATTGAGTCCATCAACTCTCAGCTGCCCCAGCCTGCCGACATCGTCTTCGTGCCGCTCAATCTCAGTAATTTGGCCTCAGTCGCCGCCGCCGCAGACACGCTGAACCAAAACACTGACCGAATCGACTTGCTCTTTCTCAATGCCGGAATCATGAACCTGCCGCCAGGCAAAACTGATGATGGATTCGACATTCAGTTTGGTACTAATCACGTCGGCCACTTTCTCCTCACCACGCGGCTGCTCCCTCTGCTCAAGCAAACTGTAACCAAGTACAATGCCGACGTACGAGTCCTGTCCATTTCATCCATGGCTAGCATGGCGGCACCGTCATTGGACACCATCATTTCGGAAGACCTATGGAAAAAGGGAGGATGGACGTCCTATGCCTCCTCCAAGGCCGCCAACATCCTTTTCGCTGCCGAGTTGGCCAGGCGACACCCCGAGATCACCGCCATGTCTGTCCATCCCGGCCTCATCAAGACAGATCTGTATAGCGACACTTTTGAAAACAGCTACTTTATGAGATTCGGAATGGCGTTGGTTGGTCCCTTGGTCTACCACGACGCGGTATATGGAGCCTTGACACAGCTCTGGACCGCTACCGCAGAGAAGAGTAAAATCCAGCAGGGTGCATTCTATACGCCTGTGGGAAAGCTGCAGAAAGGGAATTCGTGGGCCAACAATGCGGATGCGTCGAAGAAGCTGTGGGAATGGACGGAGGAGAAGTTGAAGGAAAAGGGGTTCTAAGAAGGAGGCCTATGGTTATTTTCGTCATTGACTTTGCTTGCATTTGGTGGCGTGTACGGCTTTGCGTCGAGGTTCTGTTTTCGTCTTTAGAATACACAAAGAGATTGCATATAGGCGATTGGTCATTGGTATATAATAGATGCTACAATTACATCCTATAAGAACCGAGATCAATTGAGATTGTTTGAAACGTCTCTGTCGGTTTCAAACTCTTGCGCACTGCAAACCGCCGCACTTGGCACTCCAGTATGTTACCGGATTGATTTCGCCGTCTCTTTCTCCGATCTCGCCGAAAAATAGCATTATTCGGAGTAACGACAGCGCCAGATCCACATATTGCTGTAATAGTGCATGTGTCATGAAAGATAACTCATCTATCTTTAAAAATGTTGAATTTCTTCAACCTCATTTCTACAGCTCGAATAAATATCTGACCGGTTTTTTTCTTGGCATTATGACATTCCCAAATGCCATCACGGGAGGATGCCTCTGTGGCTCAATCCGCTACTCAATATCCCCCTCCGGCGAAACCTCATGGCCGCCTCAGGTACGACCCTGAGTATTATTTTGATGCCTCCAGGAATGCAAATTAACACTTATCTCTTTTTCTATCGTTCAAGTCATCAGCCTGTCAATGTACGTCCTACGTAACTTCTTCACCCAAAAGCATGGCAAGTTAATCACTCAACAGGCACAATGTGTCGCAAATGGACATCGTCCCTCATTGCCCAATTCATCATTCTTTTGCCAGCACAGTTGAGTCCGCCATTCCGCACTCACGAAACATATGAAGAATATGAATCATCACCTGGTCGTTATCGAGGATTTTGTAAGCGGTGTGGGACCTCGTTAGTTTGGCGGTCCGCAGACGATGGCAGCACAGTCGATGTGTTTCTGGGGACTGTCGATGAAAGGTGGCTTGTCCATGAGGATGAAGGCAAGGTTGGACAAGCGCTGGGAATGCCAAACGGAACGCAGTTTTGGATGGAAAATGCGATCCCGGGCGTCACTGATCTCATGAAGGGAGGAAAAGAGTTTCTGAAGGAGGGCGAGGATGGGTGGGAGAGAAAGAGAGAGTAAAACTGTAAAGGTACATGTATAGACAAAAGGAAAAGATGTACATAGATGATAGGCATAAAGCGAAAGAATTGTCACGTTCCTGGAGGCATAATGTCACGCTGGGGACTATATTTCCTCTAAATGTAACTACAGTACAGCTTTGTGTATAATAGACTTACTTCTCATCTCCTCTTCTCTTTCGACTTTCGACTTTCGAACCTCTCCTAATCCTCACTGGTTCATTGTACAGAATATTTAGCCCGAGAGCCCTAGACGAATTCGACCAACAAGGAAAAACTTGGCTTCAAACAGCAGATCAAACATGGGCAATGTGCTACCTGCAATTAACCTACGTGTACCTACATGTACTTATCAACATGCAGTGACCCACCAATGAATCTTCCCAATCAGATACCGTTGTATTGGAATTGATAGCTTTCATATGCTCTTTGCTGCCCGCAGTAGGCAAATTCAATATTCACATTGAACAAAAGCCATATGCTAACCATACTATCCTTAGTGGCTTTAATTTGTACATATCGCTACATGTACTGACTCATACGGAGCGCCTCGGCCTTGGTGCCAATGTGTACATCTAGGATATGGCCAGATGTACTCATGGGTGTTACTTAGTAATGACAAGACAACTCTGGCTACTGTCACCCCGATAGAGGCTGGCGCAGAAATGGACGTGGTACGAGCCACTGCGTTTGACGGGTCTTTCGCGGCTCGTGTTGCATCAACGACTGGATTTGATCTCATCGACAAGAGTTCACTTCCTACTGACTTCCCCGAGTGAAAGCATGCCCCCCCTTTATATTACTTCGTATGAGGCATATCATCTTCTGCTACTGCTTCAATCCGGAGGACATTCTCTACCGCTACGTCGAATGCAAACTCAGCTAAAATTGACTCTTGCGATGATGACAATGACGGTGGCGATATGGCTGCGAGTTGTGAGCTCAAGAAGCATGTTAGGATAGCCCAAATTGACCGAGATTAGCCACTTCCGGCAGCACCACCAACGTCTTAAGACCTCGATGTCCCAATCCAATCCTCCTGTGAATAGCCAAGAGACAGCCATTTGACGCTTTCTTACCCCGCGTTTCTCTAGCTCTCGAGCTTCTTGTAGAATCTGGGGATCGCGGACCGCCACGGCGTAGCGCGGATTGTGGCGGGCCCCATCCGGACCGAAGCTGGAGTCGTTCTCGGCGGACTGACAAAGAGCCCGGCATCGGATAATACAAGTGGAAACATGTTTAAATATATATCAAGGGCCGCTCATTGCTTTTAAGACCTCGGCTATAAACCCCTTAAACCGAAGGAAGACCTGCTGCTCTCGTCTGTGTGTGTTCCGTGCAATAGCCTTACAGATGGATCCCTTGGAACACTTTAGCACCGCTATGGACGGATTGTCCGATAGCAGCTCACTAAGCCCAGAGCCTCACTCGTCTTCAAAACAGCCGGTACGAAGAGCGAGCAAGGCGTGTCTTGCATGCAGAGCCAGAAAGGTCAGATGTGATGTGACTGTGCGATCACCATGCGGCAACTGCCAGTGGAATGGCCAGCAGTGTGTTACACATGCTCGTCGACCTAGGAGGTATGTACCTGGGAACTGAGTTATAAGAGTCAAGACAATCCATTAACAATGCTTAGACGACGCAAGAGACAAACTCAAAGCACGACCTCGACTGAAATTAATACGACCAAGGAGGCTGTCATGCAGGATGGCGGATGCAACTTGCTAGAAGAGTTTGCAATTGATACTTCAGAAGCGCCCATGTCCATGGAAGACTTGGAGCTTTTAAAAGCAGACATCGAGTCCGACAAATCCCCACAAGATGATTCACCATTAGACGACGCTCAGAGCTTTGATCTGCCACAGTATGTCCGGCCATTGACAAGTCTACCGCCGGACGATATGACCTTTCTGCACAGCGAGGGCGCCTTGGATCTTCCAGACGGCGCACTTCAGAACGCCTTACTCCGCGCCTTCTTCGAATACGTGCATCCGTATGTGCCGACTCTTGACCTGGATGGCTTTCTACACGCCATAGAAACACACGATGGATCGGCAGGGCAAGTCAGCTTGCTGCTGCTTCAGGCCGTGCTGGCTGCGGGAACTGCACACGTAGAGCTGGATGCTCTCAGAAATGCTGGCTTCCAGTCGCGGAAGCAGGCCCGTACGACGTTTATGAAGAGAGTCAGGGTGAGTTGTGCAACGGGAACAAGGCATTCATTTAGTGTTCATATAGGTAGTTGCTAACGTATTCTATGTTCAACAGCTCTTGTACAAGTACAACTGCGAGCTGGATCAAATGGTCCTCACACAGTCTCTGCTACTCATCACCTCATGGCAAGACGCCTCCGACGAGCATGGAAAGACCTGGTTCTGGATCGACGCCGCCGTGTCTCACGCCTTTGCAGCAGGACTGCACCTCGAGCCATCCGTGAACAAGCCCAACCTATCAAAGCGCAAGCAGAGGCTGCGTCGACGCGTCTGGTGGTGCTGCTTCATCCGCGACCGCCTCCTATCACTCGGCATGAAGCGGCTCCCGCGAATCAAGGATGGCGACTTTCAGGTCTCGATGCTCGAAGAGGCCGATTTCCAGCCGGAGCAGATCCGCAGCGACGACGATCACGCCAAATTCGAGGCCGTGTGCGTCTACGTCAAGAGCCGCAAGAAGCGCGCTGAGCTGGCACGCATGTGTGTCGCACAGGCGACTCTCTGCAAGTCGATGAGCTTCCTGTCCAGCAGCATGTACATTGCGCCGCACGACAACTTTTCCAACTTTTCCGAGACACGCAAGATCACGGCCGAGGGCGAACAGAAGTTCACCACGTATATGCGGGACCTGCTGGAGTGGAGAGATGGCTTGCCAGAGAGTGTCTCATACAGACCCATCTCGAACAGCGACATAGGCAAGGATGGGAATACGAGCATATCATTGGATCGTGCGGTCTTGCACATGATTTACTATACGGCAGTGCTGTGCCTTTATCGCTCTAGATTCATGGCACTGATTAATGACGCGAATGCATCCACCATGGAAAAGGAGATGTGCAAGATACACATGCAGCATTCGGCCAAGAGGATTGAAGAAATCTCCAGAAACATATACGACCATGGCCTCGACCGACTACTCCCCAGCATGGCGGCGAATATAGCAGTATCCGCCGCAAGTGTATACATGCTGGAGCAAAAGGGCCAGCTTCAAGGCTGCGCAACGGAACAGGGATATCGCCAGAGCATGAGGCTAATGCAGTCTATGCATGACACATATGCAGGGGCTGATTTGGCGAGAGCCTCTCTGGAGTGGGATAAGGAGGAGAAGGAGGAGCAAGATGGAGCACAAGTAGAAGAGTCCAATAAGGCAGAGGAGGATTATCTCGTGGCCGACCAAGATTGGTTAAAGGACCTGGAGGCTGCGACATGCTGGTATGTGGCTGAGCCTTTCCGGGCGGATAGCTTTTTGCAATACTCGGGAGAGGGACTGGACGTGTTTAACGAGTTTTTTGCTTATTAGGTGGATTTATGGGATGTACAAGGTCATCTCTTGGAGTATAGGTTAAAGTTTACTGCTGATGATAGTAAACTAAAGATCATTGCATAGTCATATAATAAACTCGAGAGCTATTATCTCGTTGTTACACTCATTGTTGATATTGACGTGAGCTTGAGTGTCCACCTCCTCTAATCCTCTCTTCTCCTTGCACTATCCGATCTCGACAATTGAACTGATGCGATATCGGGTCCCCTATCCGATAATCAAATCCACTCTGTACTCCGTGCGACTCCGTTATCTCAACCCTCGTGGAAGGTAGTAGGAGGTCATACAGGTCTGTCCGAGGTACATGCAGTTTCGGATAACCTCACAAGCAATAAAATGTGGATCTTGATCCAGTCCCTGAGGAAAGCCTGTTTCACATACTCGTGTGAGCTGAGACACGAGAAAAAAAAAAACAAGCAATGATGTGATGAGCCAAACAGTAGAATGCCTCAATGGCTGTTGCTGCTCTGTCCTTATTTTCTCAGAGAATTGCCTAATTAGGCAACCGACGAACTATCCGTTTTGCGCCACCCAACTTGTATTCTATTATACAAATCAAGTGAAAGCCTGAGACGCCGTCTCGAAATAGGCTGTCCTTAGCTCCCGCCTGCCGCTAAACTTTACACGATTCATTGCCATCAATGATCCCTACCAACCACGCATTCGCTTTCCAATTGCGTTTCCCTACCCCACAAAGATGAGATACATCAGCAACACGACCTTCATTGGCTGTAAAACATCTCGGACCGCCATCATCTGTAGCTGGACATGCGGTCCGGTCGTATTTTGTGTGGAGGGGTAAAATCGATCTGGGGTTAAGAGTGGAGAGTGGGAGAGGAGGCTATATTGGAATGACTTGTGGCTTGCTTAGGTCTGTCTTGAAAATGCATGTCTGTTAACGATAGGAGTATGTTTCTGAGAAGCAAGACAGCTTCGTATACCATGCTAGTATGACGCTTCTTGGCATTAGTGGCTGGCTGTCTGTGTTACGGACCGCTTCAGTCTCTGCGGGGGAGGAATTGGGTGATTCCGAAAACGGATTGTGAGAGAGAGCCACCTGGAATCAACATAAAGTGGCTTGTAGAACGCCCATAGCTTTATGTTTGAAGAGTAGTAAATCCCCCCTCCCCAAGTCTCTTTTCTTTACTCTGTCCTTCGTAGCAAGCGTTTTCACATACTACCTATACACCTACTACATACTATTATCACAATGGCGCCTTCAGCTATTGACTCAACAGCCAACAACGTCCAGAGTCTGGACTTCCAGGGCAATTTTGTCCAAATCATCAACGGCAAAAGCGCACCAACATCCAAAACCCGCCATGGCATCAACCCAGCCACTCTCAAGCCGAGGCCCGAAGTCCCCGTCGCGACTGAAGAGGACGTCGACAAGGCTGTCGAGGCCGGCAAGGCGGCGTTCAAGAAGTGGCGCAAGGTTCCCTACGAGGAGCGCAAGGCTGCCGTGTTGGCATACGCAGATGCCATTGAGAAGTTGCAGACTGAGTTTCGAGATTTGCTCATCTCGGAGCAGGGAAAGCCGGTAATAACATCTCTCCTAGCGTACCTGCCTAGGGCAAGCAATGTTGCTAACATGATGTTACTTCTAGATCCCTCAAGCAGATGTCGAAACAGGTGCGGCCATTGCATGGTTCAGGGGCATGGCCTCCATCGAGCTCCCCGAGGAAATCATCGAAGACAATGAAAAGCATACAATCTTCACCAGATACACGCCTTTGGGCGTCGCTGCCGCCATCGTGCCCTGGAACTTCCCCCTCTTGGTAGCAGCTGGAAAGATGGCACCCGCTTTGCTGACAGGAAACGTTGTCATCCTCAAGCCCTCGTAAGCCTTTGCTCATACGATTAACATGCTTCAAATATTTCGCCTTTCTTTCTAACAAGTGTATCAGGCCCTTCACACCCTATGGCGGTCTCAAGCTCGTTGAGTTGGCGCAGCAGTTCTTCCCTCCTGGCGTTGTTCAGTCTCTCAGTGGAGACGACAATCTTGGTCCTTGGATCACGAGCCACCCTGGCATCGACAAGATCAGCTTTACAGGTTCAACACACACAGGAAAGCTGGTTATGCAGAGTGCGTCCAAGACTCTGAAGAGAGTCACCCTTGAGCTGTAAGTCTTCTGATCTTTTAGCCTGGGTCTTGGTGGGAACATTCTCTGATAGCATTGACAGCGGTGGCAACGACGCGGCCATTGTTTTCCCTGACGTGGATGTCGAAAGCGTAGCAGAAAAAGCTGCTCTCTACGCCTTTGTCAACTCTGGACAGGTAAGCCACATCAGTGATATACTCTTTATTGGCAGTCCGGCTGACATGTTGTTATCCTTTGCAGGTCTGCTTAAACATGAAGCGCATCTACGTCCACGAATCCATCTTTGAACAGTTCCGCGACGCCATGGTCAAGCACATCAAGGCCTACACTGTAGGCGACGGATCCCAAACCGGTGTCAGCCACGGCCCTGTTCAAAACTCGATGCAATACGAGCGCGTCAAGACATACTTTGACGATATCGAGAAGCAAGGCTGGAAGGTCGCTGTTGGCGGCAAGATTGAGCCCTTAGCAAATGGCTACTACATCACCCCTACTGTTATTGATCGACCTCCCGAGGACTCGCGGATTGTCGTGGAGGAGCCTTTCGGTAAGAGAAAAGAAAGAAGAGAAACAAAATATGATACTAATGGGGGTTTTCACATTATTCAGGCCCCATCGTCCCTCTCCTCTCATGGAGCACCGAAGAAGAAGTCATCGCCCGCGCAAACAATTCAACCATGGGCCTCGGCGCCTCCGTCTGGTCCAAGGACGTCAAAAAAGCCGAGCAGTTCGGCCGCGATCTCGAAGCCGGAACCATCTGGATCAACGGACACTTTGAGATCAACCCGCTGGTGCCATTTGGCGGACACAAGGAGAGTGGCATCGGTGTCGAGTGGGGAGCCAACGGCTTGAAGGAGTACTGCAACGTGCAGTCTATGTTTGTGAACAAATGAAGTAGACGGAGAGGCTCTCGGATGATGCATCTCTGATAATACATATACCCTCATTAAGGCTGCTGTCACGAGCTGCGTTTATACATGACAATAGCACACAAAGTATCCGCAAGAGGTGAAATTGGTGAGGCTAATAGATTCGCTCTTATATTAATGGTATATTGCCATATCCACAGCTGTCAAATGTACATATCAAACAGTCGTCAACTTTTTTTTCTTCCCAAAGATATCGTGTGCGTAATTCATACTGCTAAATCAACAAGTTGTTGCTATGTCGTTACATCATTCGCTATAAACCAGATAGAAGCAGAGGCGTTTTTTATAAGGGTACGCCGTTACCAAGAAAAGCAACGTTTGGATCGGAATTCGCATCGGGGCCTAAGCCCGAAAACCCATCATTACTGTCGAGGCTCATTTGAGCATTAAGTGGGCTTAGAAACGTATCAGTGGATAAAGGAGGTGGTGTTAGTGCTGTCTCGTTCAGTGCCGACATGGCTACATAGTCGACCATGAGCCACAGCGCAGATTCCAATTTCGGATCGACTTCCGGGGTTTGGGAGTCCACAAGGGCGGCGAGAGAATGGTAGTTGGCATCGAATAGCATTAATTGAAGATGCTGATATAGCAAGTGGGATGTCAATAAGTGGGGGAAGAATAAATTGAAGAATGGCGCGGAATAGGAAATGTAGACTCACCATTTTCGAAGCATGATCCCATCTCCTCCCTGTTCTTTCTAGTATGTGAATAGCCTTTTGGTAGTGGTTAAGTGTTTCTGGGTCCGTCACCTGCCCCTTTTCTTGGTCGATATGAATGGCTAAAGAGAGAATGCCACCGGCAAGGATGGAAGCATATGCGTAAAAAGAGGATTGCACGTGGCAGCCAGATGCAATGGCGTCCTCCACTAAGCTGGATATTGATCGAGCATGGTTGCAGCTGATCTGAAATGAACGGGTTAAAAATTTCGGCGGCACCTTGCAGTTTGACTTCTGGAGTCTCATCCGGAGAAGAAATGGGTGATTAAGGAGACAGTGAGCGGTGTGAAATACGATGCGCGCAAACACAACGTGCTCAAGTGACTGGAAATCCAGGGTGCCATCCGGCCTCCGATACTGCTCTACAATTTGAGGAATAGGAGGAGTCTCCACTTGAAGGTGATGGTCGATTAAAAGTAAAAAGGTGTTTAAAAGTGTGAAGTCGGACCTGGGATCCCATGGTGGCATTTCGTCCATCTCACGCCCATGCAAGACATATCGACAGCATCGGCCCAGGGCCGTCGCAGCAAGTATCGTCTGCGTAAAGGTGCCGTTGACCGATGATTCCGTCTCGGATTTCCAGTTGATAAGCTGATGGAGTGTGGGTGTCTTCTTCCAGAGGCCCCTTCTGAGTGTCTCCTCGTCGCTGGGCAATTGGACATGGATATCCTCCTCGGCAATGGCGGGCGGGCGGCTTTGACCGACGGAGACCAGTTTATCAAGAAGGTATATTGACCAAAAAGCCCTCCGGTGTTCTTCCTGCTCAATTGGTGACAGTGTGTTTTTCGGTTCTCTCATGAGCTGCAAGTCTTGCGCAATGCGGACAGCAAGGCCAATCTTTAACCACCCCGAACTTGTACGACCGCCTATTCAAAATAAGGTTAACAATGTCAACGCCCCCTCCTTCTTAATCAAGATGTGGCTTACATGTAAAATCGACCACCCCGAGGATGTTGCTAGCTTGGGCAACTGCCAACGTCGGGTTATTCTCGACGGTCAGATGCTCATGGAGGATGGCTAGCCAAGCTTCTCTGGCATAAGCCTCGGTGGCTTCACGTATGGAACCCTGAAAGTATTCGATATCCGAGAATTTAAGGGCAGAGGCCAAAATTGCAAAGAGCAGGCACTTTGGTATAAGGCCGTAATTGACTCTATCCCGGAAGCTCTGCTCGTGAAAGTATGAATATGGCTGGTTGTGGACGTGGAGGAAATATGCATCGATGAGGTGATCCATGACAGCGGGAGGCGGCGCGGTGGTAAATCTCCTACAGGACGAGTTAGCCCATACTGTCATTCCAAAGTAGGAAAGGATATTCCCATCCGTTCATGTCACGGTGGTTGCAGCGAACATACATTGTACTTGCTAAATCGGGAACGGTGTTTGTGGTTTCGGGGGCGGAAGGCGGATATTGATGCTGAGGAGGCGATGGCTCGGTGAACTTTGGCGAAACTTCCTGGTAGCCAGTGGCAGCCGCGAGGTCTGGGAAAGCAACGGATCCATTCTGATTCTCGCCATTCCTTCAAACGAGACAAGCATGGTTAGTACCGAATTCCATTTGATGTGTGGTCGTCGTCCGGCAATTGGGATGGGAGCATTGATCGGGGATGACAAACAGAAAGCCAATCAAGCCTTGGCTGTGCAGTTGCGCCAGTTGCGATTCGATGGTGTTTATCCTATTCAGGAGCTCCGGCTACATATCCCATGGTTAGGACGCAGCTCCTTTACCGCCAGCATGCAATTTCTCAAGGGGTCATGGCTCACATCAACCACGCCGGTGCGAGGGAAGAGAGAAGACGGTGATTTGGCCTTTGCCGCGCCATTGTTCGCAGCGACTGAAGCCGAGCTCGGGGGATTGGTGGCGGAGTAGGGTTCATAGTGACAGACGCGATCGACTCGTCGACAGTTCATGCATCTGGGCCGCTCGCCGGAACATCTCGTCTTGCGATGCCTGAAGAAGAATATTCACACACAAAAGTCAGCCTCTGAGGTCTTTCCATCTGGTTCATTCGAAACAATCTCCAGGGCCCAGAGAGCTGGGCCGGGGACGTGTTGGCTGGTGGTTGCGCGCACCGACAATTCGTGCAGGCCTGGCGGATGCGGCGGATGGTGTTGACAGTTGGCGGAGGCCGCGATCGGCCATCGGACCGTTCCCATGAAGCATCGGCTGCTGTTCCGTCGGACGAGGACATGGTGTCGCCGCATGCCTCAGATTACAGAGGCGCAAAAAACCATGGACAGCAGAGTCGAGATGAGATGCAGCACGAAGAATGCTTCCATGGAACAAAAGAATGAGCGGGGTACATAACGGGTAGCGTTTGTGCATAACTGCATAGCTGGCCGCCGCGTCAGGTACTGGCTACAGGCCGTTTGCCGAAGGGTACCTGCCAGGGGGCGGTGCCAGGCCGTCGGAGGGCTGCTAGCCAGAAAGCACAGCGCGCCGTTAGCGAGCAGCTGACGCAAGACCGCGCTGTACCCTTAGCGCTGGTTGCTCGTACTCGGTACCTCTGAGCTGATGCCTCCTGGCCCCGATCACTAACACTCTTTAGCGGCCTCTAGTTGCGATGGGCGCTCCCCCACGGGGATCTACTCCTTTATGTTGTACCGCGTTCTGTCGACTCTTTTGATGGGCATCGCTAGCTGTTGGAAACAGCGATTGATTTCTTCATAGCCTCAGCTCGTATCGTGTCGTGCCGCATCTCTTCCCAGTGACTGAAAAACTTCCTCTCTCTTCGCTCAGCCAAACAGCACGATACTAAGGGCTGATTAGTGAACGACAGCTCGCAATCAAGCCTATCGATTGCCGCCAGGTCAGCAAGACTTGCGCTCTGTAAATGCGTGCTGGCAATGACTCGGGCTATTCCGCTGACAAACCAACAATTGCTGATTTATACTTTCTGTTGGTTGATGTCGAAATATTGATGACATGCCAGTACATGTTATGGTGTCGGCCGTATATGCCCCGTAGAGCCGGCGAATGAAACCCGTGGAAAGCAGTATTCCGCCGGCCTCTGCGCAGACCTGGTCTTCTTATTCCGATTCCTAGACGGGATGGTTGATCTTTTCTCGTGTTGCTGTCTGCCCCTCTTCTTGCATGGCATGCCATCACTGAAGGAGCGTCTCCAAATGCCCGTATGGAATCGAATGCCTGTCTCACCCTGGTCGACTTGCTTTTTAGTATGAGCCACTTTGACGATTGAGCAATCGGAAGGCTCATCTCGCTTCTCGAGGTCCGCCCGTCGAACAGGCAGCGAGATTCTTGAAGCACCAGGAACTTCTCAATCGGGCAACGCAGGCGAATAGCGATGTAGCTTAACTGCACGAACTCTAATCGTTCATTAGTTGCATCTGAAGGGAATATCTCGGAGCCAGATTCAGTTAGACAGGCATGCCTTCAGCCTAATCGACGAACTCCAAGGAGACTCCCATCAAACGCTCCATGTTGGAGCTTTAGCAACAGCTTGGTGGTGGCCAGGGAAGTTATGATGATCTATGATTCACCATTTTGGAATGCACCCTGCGATACATATTAGTTGATATCCTCCATAGTGCTCCGTGGAAAATACGGTGCTCGGAACTGACAGCGACATCTTGACTTGAACAAGGCTGGGCATTTGCTTACCATCTATTAGGCGCCGCGCTTTTCGAAGACTGCATTCAGAAAATCTCGAAGCGCAAAGAGGTGCCTTTATTCTATCTCACGAGTAAGGAAAGATATGCCGGGGTACCCGGTGCAGATCGTCAGTCGTCAATCTCGTCTAGCGGACCCTGGCCGGGATTCGCAGTTAGGGAGCCTCAAGGCACACCGTCTTCTAGAACGCGAGCCTTTGCGCGCGACATCTTGAAGATGCAATCACCACAGAGTTCCAGCAGAGAGATTCAGTTCTTGTTTGCCTCTTGTAAAGATGCAACTGCTGTGGTGTCGTTGTACCCCTCTATACTTTGTTGGACGATGCACCGGTCCGCAGCGGTCCGCGTGGGGCCATCCGCGGCGTCTTGTCTGCGAATAGTCGACAATATGTGCAAAGTTGCTCCAGAGAGAATTGACAAATGGCAATGGTGAGTTGAGAAGCTAAGGATGTGTACCTTTGTACTTGTAAAGATTTTCCAATCGGTCGGACTCAAAGTTTGCGGAATTGAAGTGGTGAGTGCAATACACGTAGTACTGTACATACATGTAAGTAACTAGCGACCAAGCTCTTGTGTCGCCGGAGGTGAGACGTTACACGAGGCGGGTATAATACACGTAGCTATTCCATGACACTGAAAGAACATGGGGAGAGCTGAGCGAAAGAAGTGAATAAATAAACGGATGGGGATGTTCACTTGAAATGGACGCTAAGCGGGCAACATCAACGGTCCCACATTCGGGTCAGTATTATATATTTACATGGAGAGTCGACACCAAAAGATGAGGCTTGGACTAGTTCAAGTGCACTCAAGGCAAGGAAGAGCCTGACAGCGACTTTTTGATTGTCTGTTGGCAGCGTACAATAGTGGTATCCATTTTTACGTATTCCGTGAAGCAAATCAAGAAATCTCTTAGAATGAAGCAAATCAAAAGAATATCGTTTTTTTTTGACTCATCATCATCCTGTACTGCAATCTATAAATCTCTCTATATGCTATAAACTTCTGTCGCCATATTCAACTGTGAGTTCCAGCTGCAGGACCCCCGTTGCTCGGGTTGAAATGCGGACTCTTTTGCCCATTAGCAGCTCGAAGGGAAGCGCTCTTTGCCATACCATTATGACAGCCGTTGAAAGAAAGCTCGCTAATACCAGGGTAGCCCTTGATACCCGTAGCCTTCTCCAGTCTAACGGCTAAATCATCTGACACTTCGCGGAATATGGCAATCTGGCGCTTAATAATCTCCGGTTCGGTGCAAGTGCTCATGTGGCCGGCCACGTTGTTGATGAATCGCTCTCTGGCGGCGTCATCAAAAACTTTCTCCCAGAGGGCGCGAGGCTGGTTAAAGTCTTCGGGCCTGATCTCTGAGAGGAAAGTAACTGCCTTTCCGACAAAGGCGCCGTGAACCTCGTCTAGATTTGTCTTGCGCTCTTTGAAAGAAATCGGCTCGATGGAAGAAAAGTAGTTTGCTCTTCCGCCCTGGTTGAAGAAGGCCATGGGGCCGTCTCGCTGGAAGTTGGCCATTTGGTAGCCTGTGTGAGGCGTATTGACAGGGAGCTGCTGGTAATTTACACCCAGTCGGTGACGTTGAGTGTCGGGGTACGAGAACAGGCGGCCTTGAAGAACAGGGTCGGCGGAGGGTTCAATTCCTATGCATTTCCGTGAATGATTAGTATCTGATTTAGATGAATCTTACAATTATTATGAAAGAGTTGGGCTTACCAGGAACGAGATGAGACGGGCTGAAAGCAATTTGCTCAATCTCGGCAAAGTAATTCTTCACATTCTCATTCAAACAGAGCTCTCCAACCTTGCGAAGAGGAAATTGGCCTTGGGGCCAGCAGTGAGTGAGATCAAAGACGTTGATCTTTTGGGTCTCCCACAGCTCCTCCGCTTGTTTTGGAGTCATGGTCTGCACACACAGATCCCATTGAGGAAACTCGCCACGCTCAATAGCTTGGTAGAGATCTTTTTGATTTGCATCTGGCGAGCGACGTGTGGACTCCTCTTGCGTCAGAAAGCCAGTGCCTTGCTTTGAGCGGATGTGGATCTGGCAGTACACCCACGAGCCCTCCTTGTTGACGAATTTGAAGGTATGGCCACTGTATCCGTGCATGTGACGCCAGCTATCTGGGATGCCGCGATCGCCAAACGTGTACATGACTTGGTGAACTGATTCCGGATTTTGACAGAAATATTCCCAAAAGATGGTGGAGTCGTCACCGCTGCCCAGATGACTTGCGGGATGTCGCTTCTGAGTATGGATCAAATGAGGGAACTTGGCGGGATCTCTGATGAAGAAAACCGGCGTGTTGTTTTGTACAAGATCCCAGTTGCCTTCATCAGTGCGGAACTTGATGGAGAAGCCTCGTGGGTCGCGGGCATGGTCATGAGAACCACTTTCACCACCGACAGTGGAAAATCGAATGGAAATAGGACACTCTTTTCCTTCAGCGGAGAAAATGTCTGCAAGGCAGAGATCGTCGAGCGGATTGGTGGTTTTGTAGTAGCCATGGGCACCACCACCCTTTGCATGGACAACTCTCTCGGGGATTCTCTCGCGATCAAAGTGTGACAGGAGATCAATGAGGTGGAAGTCTTGGAGCAGCAAAGGGCCGTTTACTCCAGCTCGCTGTGTTTCTATTTATCACTTAGTCTACTGTATTCCATGATGGTAATTGAGAACGAGAAGTACGTGGCTGTAGTAATACATACCGAAAGGATGAGGAATTGGAGCACCATTGCTAGTCGTATACACGGTTTGCTGAGATGTAGTGTTGCGATCATTGGTATAGTTCAAGTGCAAGTCACCTGCTGTCAATTAGCCTCAGTTCTCTAAAAAGCCCAGCTCCAGTAAAATCATGAGGCCGGTATATACATACCATTCTTGCGGCTTGATGCAGAGTACGATGTAGAAGCCATGGTTCAATCTTTCAAAGCCTTTTCTTCTGATACTAGAAATGAAAACCTTTGAAAATGAAACACTTTGAATGTGTCTTTCAATCTGGGGAATTCCCATCAACGAGCAGCTCTCAATCTTTATATACCTGATCATGGTGAATCAATACTCGGTACAATATGGCTGGCTTTTGCTCGGGCCCAGGGCTTCCGTGTAAGTGAAGCCTGTGACGTAGCGTGCCTGAACACTCGTTAGCGCATGGCTGATCAAACAGCCTTGACGCCATTGGTCGAGATGACTTGACCTCGTTCGCGCAGCTGCAAATGGAGCAAGGCTCGGATCTCCGACGGCAGCGACTAGGCTGTTCTTGGAAGCGCATGGCGAGCCTTTACTCGTTTGATGCAGCTCATAGCTTGGAAGTACATATTCACGCTCTCGTAACATTTCGTAAGCCAATTGTTTCCGTGTAAGTACCGGAAGTCCTATAGCATATCTAAAATGCAAGTCTTCGGCAGTTGAGTCCCATGTGGATAGTAGCAATCCTCGTATGTACGATGTGCTTCTGCCCGACACAAGATGATGTAAGAATCCTAGGCAACAACAATGCAATTGACTTTCTGCCCCCTGGGAGCGGACATCTTGAGCGATAATAGATTCTCGGCGGAGCTTCTATACGACTTAGAGACATGGCTATGCCGAATTTTCATTGACTGGCGAAGAAACCAAGACGGCGAGTTTGTTCTACCATTTTTCCTGTTGCTCGCTCATAGAATGATTACTTTCTGTAATGATGAGACTGTTACATCTTGAGTTTGATAGATTTATGACCATCGAGTGGTTTTAGAAGATCCTGAGCTGCCCGTTGTCTCTATAAGTGGGCGATGCAAGTTTGATCTCTTGTGATTAGCATCATGCGAGATAAGTTCCGCGACTCCGGCGAATGATATCACTAACAATGCTTAAGTGTTGTTTATTTTTTTGAATTGAAAACTGGTATTAGACAGTGGTTGTAATCTCCAAATGTCTGTATATGCTTGGGTAGCATGTGAAACTTAGCGTCGAGGAGTGCTAACAAAATTTCGGTGCAAGAGTCTGGCCGTTTACAAGCAGTAGCGACAACTATTTTCAGTCATAGGCTATTTAGTTTTTCAACTTTGAGGGAGATTAGCGCGATTAGCGACTATTTTGAGCATTAATATCAATATTGCAGATATTAACTTCAAACTGTTCTTCGTTTTCGACGTCGTCGCTGCGAATATCCCAGTATGGTAAGCGCGCCGTTCCAATCCCTGGAGCGAGAGAGGCTATTCTATAAATAGCTACTAACAGCGAATCGAAATAAACGGCAGAGACTGACATCATTGAAGGATGTAACACCATGGACAGCAAAAGAATTTCCCTTGTTTATTTGAGAGAACGTGGAATAGCTTGATAAGCCTGAATCAAAAGCCGGTTGCCATACAAGTCTGCCAGTCTTAAAGAAATTGCGTGTCGAACGTATACACAAGGTAATGCGGCCTGACTAGACTCCGATTGAAGCTATTCAGACAGGCAATTAGATATCATTCCATGTGCATAGTCTATAAATGTATTGTCCGCAAGCCGCCCTTTGCCCATATAAGTCATCTCATCATCATTTCCCAACATTACCGGATTCATCAATAGGTTCATTGATATCCAACTACGCTCCCGCCAGGTGTCCGCTGATGAATCGGCAGTAACCGGCTTCCATTCATATGGTCACGAAGAATGTCGTCAAAGTTAAATCTCGCCTGCGAAGAGCGACTTTTCCAACTGCTCGCAATTGGACGATTCAAAATCCACTCCCAAGTAAACTGCTCTTCCATAGATCGCTGCTCATCATAAATGTCAATCTCCCGCTTGGCCGCGCTGTTATCGTCAAGCTCCGGAGAGAAGCGCGCTTGGGCGATGGGATAGTAAGTTAGAGTCTCCCGGTTAATCCAGCCGCTGTTGAATCGGGAGGGTTTTGCATAGTAGCACATGAAGCCTTGGGCACTCGTCTCCGGTATCAACATGGAGATTATTCGCAGCGCTGGACTAGGATATCGCTCGATCCGATCTGTCGAGAGTAGGTTGTGGCTGAGTTCCATCTTGTGCAGGACTTTAAGGCTAGCAGATAGAACGTAGCCGTTGAACAGCCCCTGTTCTCCAATCTGCTGCATCAGTTGCGCAATCCAGCGGAGCCATGATGGCCAAGGGCTGCACTGGCCAGCGATATATAGGATGGGTAAGAAGCTGTGATCCATCTCTTCGCCAGAAACAGGAACATCTGTAGAGTATACGGCATTGGGAAGAGTTCGTGAATGAGTATTCATAGCATGAGTCGCTGCAAAGCGCATGGTCTGGTAAAAGTATACATAGGCTTCAGGTTCTAACTTTTTGGCATCTTGGCTTTTATCATAAAGGCAGAGCGTCCACAAGATGCGCGCCGTGAGGAAGTTGAACATTGCTCCAGAGAGACATAAATGTAGTGGCATTGGCAAGAAGGGAGACGGAGGGATGGGAAAATGAGACTCTTCTGAGCTGCCGAGGCTGGCCAGGGATGCGGTGTCCAGTTCAAGGTTCGGATGGAGATGGCTATGGACGTCTCTCCACTCTCGCAAATCACGCTGCAGTCGGTAAACCTTTTCTAACAGCACAGCGGGATCCTGTCGAGTTGGTGTGAGATTCCACATCTCATCATGTGCCCCAGAGTCAACAAGGAGCTGAAGCAGGCTGCGTTGCAGGTCGAAGGTGTTTGATGCAATATGACTGGTAGGCATCGTATGGCCAATGGAGAGGAGCATATTAGGAAGCGGCACCGCCATGTAGCAGGTCCACGCAAGGGTTTGCAGGGTAGTTTCTAGAGAATCCAGCGCAATGTCATCAACACGAAGCGATGTGTTGGACCTAAGGGCTGCGAAGTAGTAGTGAGCTGTGCGGACATGGCCATAAGCAGCCGGGATGTTGCCTGCAAAGCACTATTGAGATGATGCCTTGTTAGCCACGATGACCACTTGTCACACTGCTGTATTATCTTCAATACGCAACTTACCTCAAAGTAGGCCATGAGCACCAACACGGCCGTCAAAATGTCGAGACCTTTCTCAGCTTCATCGAGACAGCCTGAGAGCTCCTGCAATGCCTTTGTGTATCCCTGAACGGCAATCACCTTCGTGTCATTTCCACGATTCAAATCATTTTCCCCAAGCATGGCGGTCATGAGAGAAGCGCGATGCATACACCCCAGCGCCAAAATTCCACGCTGGGCATACTCGAGAATCCAGGCCTCCTCACATAGGCGGTCTCTCCAGAACGGCAACCGATCAGCCGGGAACAGCATAAGGCTGGTCCGAAAGAAATACTGGTGATACGATAGCACGTCTCTGGCGGCGGCACAGGGACGATACGACATGCGAGGGTTGCTGGGCAGACCAACCAACGGCAAGCCATCCACCCGGAACTGCGGCCGGGGCAGAGCGGGCTGGGCGGATGTGCTGGGCGACGGACCGGACGCCGGGCCGGATCCAGGTCCGGAGGGAGTGGAACCGGCGCCGAGGCTCTGGGAGCTCAGATTCTGCGGCGAGACGCGGAACTCGTCGACGCCGATGCCGTCATGGTCGTCGGCCGGCGAGTTCTGCTGCGAGAGGGACGCGCCGCGATGGCTCGGCGCCCGCACCTCGATCTGCCTCCTGGGCGCGTAGCCCGCACACTCGACGTTGGCGATGGCGCAGCGGTTACAGGCCGGCTTGCGCTCGTCGCACTTGACGCGGCGGGCCCGACACGTGAGACAGCCAGTGCGCGTGCGTCTCTTGATCTCGCTCATGATAAACGACTACTCCCAAGGGGAAAGGGGGGGGCCTGCGTCACGTCACGTCTCTTCCAAAGGATTTGATGGGTTGGGATGCTTGCTTTCGAGCCAAGCGAGCTAAGCGTTGCAGCCCCCCAATACTTGCGTACATTAGGTAATTTTGGAGACACGGCAGGCTCCTGATTTGAACGTGTAGCCGGAGATGAACCCACTTCGAATCCGGGGTCGCAGACGGGCAGACGAGATAGGCGAGGCTGCCGAATCCACAGGCTGCGCTGCTGGGCGCGTTGTAAGTTGCTCTGGACAGTATAAAATATGCAATTCTCTGTATTTGGTATCGTATCTTTTGGTATTTATAGCTATTGATGCAATTAGAGGCGAGATTACCGAACGCCTCTTCCGCATTTCCACATGCGGTAACTGTCACTTACAGCCTCATATGGCTATTGGCAGCGAGTAATGCATTATCACAGTCCTTTTGGTCTCTTATAAAAAGGGAAATCGACGGTTATAAGCCACAAACCGCCATATCTCATTCTGCATCTTGGCATCCTGATTTTGCCCAGATAAAAGAACACTTTTTCTTTCTTTTAAATATAATTTGCACTTCTTCCGTCTTAGCACAATGTCACATTCACAGATAGAAACCGAGAACCGGGAACTACCCTTGAACCAGCCAAACAACTGGCAAGTCAAGTTCCCTCGTTATATGGTCGAGCTTCCCGAAGATGTCAAAGACATTAGCATCACTTATATTGGCATCCAGCCTCGCCATGAAGAGAATCCCGCCAAGGGGATACATACCGAGCTCCACGCCCATGTCACATCTGCTGTTCAGAGAAAACTCGTAACGGAAATTGAAGACTGGATTCGGCAAGGATCTGGAGAACTTGCGCCGATCTTGTGGGAAAAAGTGTATGTCGAAGCTGGCTACGATCTGCCAGATACGGAAATGTACATCTGCTATTGGACCGATAAAGATGCTGCGGCGGCAGCCACCAAGAGCCTGAATCTGCAACAGCTATATAAATCTCTATGTCCTCCAGAACAAGAAGTAGTGGCCTTATGGCGGGAGTCATTATCAGTTCCAAAACCTCGAATTGAGACAGTCTACTCTGGTAACGACTACCAGCCAGGCATCGCTTCAATTCCAGGTGCCACCCAAATCGGTCACAGATTCACCGGATACTGGGGAGCAGCTCGTGATCGATTACCGGCATCATCGCATGACCTTTTTGAGCCAGAGTATAAACTCGGCACACCCAACTTTGACAAGGACAGCAAGGGCCGTGTCATTGAAGGAGAAAACAAGGTTTCTGTCGCCCACATTCGGTCCGGCCAGTTCTGGGAGCGATGTAAAGACGATGAAAGAGAGGCGTATGAAAGCACACTTGAGCCAATATTGAGAGAGGGAATGACTTTTCTTGAACAGAATGCGGAAGCCACGGGCGATATTGGCCTACGTTTCTCTCGACATATAGTCACCAATCGACTTCTCCAAGCAGAAGAGGCGAAAAAGATGGCTGCATTGAACGGCAATGGAAACGGGGTGATCAACAGACTTGCGAATGTTGTGAAGAGTTACACGGGATACTTTAATGGCACAAACGGTACCAATGGAACGAACGGTAATGGCATCAACGGCACCAATGGAACGAACGGTAATGGCATCAACGGCATAAATGGAACCAATGGAGTTAATGAAACCAACGGCCACTCCAGCAATGATGATAGTCACGTCTCCAACGCAGAAAAATTCGGCCTCACCGTCACAAATGATCGCCGAAGATTCGAAACGTGCAGCAGCGGCTTCTTCCGGTCTCTCAAGGACATCGAAGCGTGGTCCTCAAAGCACAAGACGCATCACAAAATCTTCCACGGCGCCCACGCTCACTCCACCAAATTCGGCAAGACGACGTTCAAGTTCCGCTCTTGGCATGAGATGTCGACTTTGAAGCCTGGTGAGGTGACGTTTGAGTACATCAATTGTCATCCGAGGACGGGGCTGATTCCTTTCTTTGACGTCTGAGCTTGTCTTGAGAGGATGTATAGATGGAAGAGGCATGGATGATGCGGTAGAAGCGCAGCGTGGCATAGCATAGCATAGCCCAGCATAGCATATCCCAGCATAGCGTAGAGTATAGGCAGTCAGATGTTTCCTTTGTATTTTGGCATGTGTTCATAGCACATACAATTTCGCTTTATTCCTTTTTTTTCTTACTATTTCAGTGTAAGCGGACCATTTTGTGATAATGGACGTGATCTTACTGTATAAGAACTGTATTTAATGGTTGATAGATGAAATGATTAATAATTGTTAACCTTTTCACACCCGTCCATCCTTTTACGCTTCACTGCAATATATTCCTCACCATTAATCCACTTTATATTAGCAGTTATAACATCTTGAGCAGGCATATCGACAAGTGTGGAATGGGATTTTAGCTAGACCTCGCCGCGCATATCGATCCAAGAAGCAATGATGAAGAAACTATTTTTCAGACAATTTCCAAATTGAGACATACATCCATGAGTGACATATTAAGCAATTTCCTTATCAAGCTGGCGGCTGTTTGATGGTAAGTAGGTTCACGTCACTCATACACGCATTCAGCCATTCGGCTAGCTTCACCAATGAATGAGTAAGATTTGAAACACACAACGATAAGTCAAACAAGTTAGATTGAAGATGTTTTTATTCCTTATCCTATTAAATCCATTCCAACTAAAGTTTTCAACTTTAAATGCCACTGTGACTTCTCCTTCTCGCTATGCAATAATTCAAAACGCCTTTTTGTACTACCCTATTTCTGGCTGGGTAGCAAAACAACTCTGTATTGCACCTTGCCTGCCTCAAGACGCTCAAACGCCTTGTTAATACCATCTTCAGACATCTCAAACTTCTCAAGCACAGGCTTAATCTGGTGAAGAGCAGCAAACTCCAACATCTTGCGGTGAATAGGGCGCGAAGCGACAAGAGAACCTTGAATGGTGATGCCGCTCATGATGAGAGGCATGTATGGCAGTTCCAGGTTGTCAGAAGACACCGACAGGGGGTAAATGCGGGCGCGGGGAGAAAGGAGCGGCAGGATCTTTTGCCACTCTGGCTGAGCGGAAGTAGTAACCAGGAGACGGGAGATTCTCCAGTCACCCAGCTGCTTCTCAACATCACCCTCCTTCATGGCGATGAATCTGTGGGCTCCAAGCTTCGTGGCATCGGACTTTTTGCTATCGGAGCCAGAGAGAACGACGACTCGGCAACCAAGCTTGGCGGCAAACTGAATGGCGATGTGACCCAGGCCTCCAACTCCCATAATACCAACAGTGTCGTTGGAGTCCACATCGTGCAGAGCAGTGAAGACTGTCGCACCAGCACACTGAAGAGGAGCAGCGTCCTCGTCGGTAATGTCATCAGGAATGGGGTGCAGGAAAGCCTCTCGGAGAACAGCATGAGTAGCAAAGCTGCCCTGGTCTGTGTTTCCCGAGCCGTAAAGAACACGCTCACTGCAGTAAACGTCGTTTCCCTGAAGACACTCGAGACAGTGGCCGCAGTGGTCAGTTTGGTATCCCCAGCCTACTCGATCTCCCTTCTTCAGATATCTGACTTCGGGGCCAGTCTGTTCGACAACTGCAACACCTTCGTGACCCAAAGCGGTGTCTCCATGTTTCTGTGGATGATTCGTAAGCAATTGTTGAAACGATTGGTTGATTTTAATGGCTGTTGTGGTTTGAGCTGAGACAACTTACATAATGCACATCGGTAAAGCACATTCCAGAGGCTGTTACTCGGACATAGACTTGGTCGCCGGTGAGCTGATCGGGCTTGGTGGTAGTGCGAGGCTTGACATGACCATCTTTGGATCCTGCGTAGACGGTGAAGGAAGGCATGATGGCTGTGAATCTGTATTGGTGTAATAAATGTAATCAAATGGTAGTCGTAGTCGTAGTCGGTAGCTAGTTATTATCGACGGTTCGCTTTGAATTGAGTTGTGTGTATGGTTGTTGTATATCGAAGAAGCTGTTGAGTTGTCTGAATGATTCAAAACCTAGCTTCGAGCTCTTCATCCGGGGTTATATATACTTTTCTCCTCTTCTCAGCCCAGCTACATCATCTCACCTGTTTCTGCGGAGGCGCCTCCAACGCTTGCTGACCTGAGCTCCAGACTGGCCCGCTCTACTCGGATGCATCGCTTGGATCGGCCGATTGGCTGCTAGAGGCGCCATCGTCGACTGGGCTTGCGCTAACATGGAGCTCGGGCGCGAGTCTATGTTGCAGCTGCAGGGCTCTCGCTTGTTTTTCGTTGATTCCATATGTCTCGGAATTTCCCATCAGATACCGTCGCATGGAAACCTCGCGATTGAGGTTGTTCGGAGATTATGACGGGGTTCAATCGGCGTTGGGCATCTGTCCAAGTAAAGTGCTTACGTAGATTAGGAATGTCCCGCTGTCGTAGCGATCTTGTGTCACACAGGCAGGGCGTGCATCAGGCCTTCTGCAGAGAGACACTCCCATAACTGAATAGGATGCAGCCAATGCCACTCCTATTACTAAGACAAAGAAGGAGAACGTCTGGTGTTACCTATTCAGGTGCTGAACTCTATGGCACCCAATCAGGACTCTGCTCAGGTTGAGACAAAGCTGATACCTGTTGTAGCCACTAGCTGTACGGCTGCAGTAGCTGCTGGAAAGTACCGAAATGCGTAGAAATAATAGCGTCGAATGTGACATCGACATACGTCAGCAAGCGCCCGGAGGATTTTGCCCTTGCGGAAGTTGCCGCCCTTCCAAACAGCGCTGCGATAGAAGCGACGAGCATCTCCAATTTGGTAACTGAGATGACAAAGATGACAAACCTGGAACTTGCCGGCTTTGGAATGTTTCGTCTATTCGTCGCGTTTAACAGGGTTCTAGAAGCTGGCTGCCATAAACATTCTCACGTAATGCCAGGCACGTAGAATAGAAGGCCAATGACGCAGACCAGGTTTGATCACTGAGACATCAAGACTGTATATCAGCTACTGATTTAACATACGATATTTGCAGTAAATAGGGCACTGCCACACACACAAAGTTGCAATTGTCATTCTATTGGAAGCTTACTTTGTCGCCTCTTTTCTCAAGGCTTCTAATCCCCGCTGCAAGTCTCTCGTCAAGTCCTCCAGCGCTTCCACTCCAATACTGAGTCTAACCAGCCGCTGGTCAATACTCGTATTCGTCATAGCTCTCCATTCTATGAGACTCTCTACACCTCCAAGGCTGGTTGCGTGTTGAAAAAGACTCAACTTGCCTGGCAGCCGTTTTGCCAAGGTCGCATCCTTTAGAGTAATGGAGAAAACAGCGCCGTAGCCGTTGGGCATCTGTTTCTGTAGCCAGCTGCCTGCTTCCGTTGCTTCGGCTTGCAAGCTGGCATGATGAACCTCTTGGACTAATTCATGAACCGCTGTGGATGGATCCTGAAGCTGGTTGTGGAACCAAGAGACCAGCGCTGTCGCAGTGGCGCTTTGCCGTGTTACACGCAGTTCAAGAGTGCGTAGAGAACGCATACCGAGCCAGCTTTCCATGTTACCTGCAACTGAGCCTAGATAGACACGGTCACTATGTAGCTTCATCAGAAAATCGTGCTTGGGGTTGACGGCCAATATGCCACATAGCATATCCGAATGACCTCCAAAATACTTGGTCCCACTATGAAGGACGATATCAGCCCCAAAGTGGAACGGATTCTGCAGCGGCGGCGGGCCAAAAGTCGCATCAACGATCAGAAACGCTCCCGCCTCATGGGCCTTATCTGCGTAGTACTGCAAGTTGATGGCTTCTCCAGTTGGATTCAAGGGTATCTCGACATGAATAATATCGCCTGGTTGTAGCTCTGCGGTATCGCAATCCAGAGGCAGCTTCTCGAGGCCAGTCATACGAGAGACCATGCTGATGACTCCATGGCAGCCGTGATATCCCTCACCGATGGCAATGCGCCGCGGATTCAGCAGTACAAGAACAGCGTGGAAAGCTGCCAATCCGGAAGCGTATGTGAGGGCCGGCCCGCCGAGGATAGAAGTCAGGATAGCCTCGAAGCGGACCATGTTGGGGCTCGTATAGCGAGCGTAGGCATGGGAGCCGAGGGCCTCTTCCAGCTATCTAATGCGTTAGCCTGAGGGAATAGAAGGCAGATGACCATTTCTGCTTTACCTGCAGATCTTTGAAAAGCAACAAGATCATCTGGATCATCTGCAAAGCGGTACGTTGTGCTAGTATGCAGCGCGGGTGCTATCGCAGAGTGGCCATCGATATCGGCGTCCGCATGAACAGCACGGGTAGCGAGAGACGCGCCATTTTCCCGCTTAACGTCTCCTGATAGCTGTTTGATTCTTTCAAAATCCATATCTTGAGCCGGCTAGCTCCAGTAGCTATAGACATTGGGCGTAATGCAGATGTCCGGAGAGCAATGCTATATACATGGCCATCTGAATGACGGAGGCCTGTGGCAATTTGCATTGACGCCATATTCGCTTCTATCATCTCATGCAGATGAAATTATCGATTTGATGCTTCTCATCACTACGGCACGTCGAAAGAATGCATGCTGAAGATGCTGTTTGAGGCATGAATGAGCGAGCGACTCGCCTGCGTCGCTTATCTCGTCTACGCCACACTCTTTGCTTCATGAATCCGCGCACGCAAACAAGTGCTGAATAAGGCAGTAAAGCTATTGCTCTTCATTCCTATTATTTTCATTCTAGAAGACTATAGTTCTTGTCCCCTTTCAGAGCTGCTCCGGCAGGCGGCATCTGCCATGACTTCGTATCTTATATGACTTACATTGGCTGATGACGTGCAAAGTAGGCAATCGCTAGAGTTACGGATGAGTATAAATATGCACAATATAGTTGAAATTGGATATTAATATATCAGAAAATAAATTGGAGTCGCCCAACATCCGACCAGGGCAACTCTACTATTTCACGCTGTTTGCATAAGAACCGCAAAATACAGTTCCGAGAGGTCCTATAATTTATCCTATGTTTTGTTAAACCAGTGGATAGATCTAAATCTTGTAAAAGACACTTGTTGTAAGGCCAAATTGCTGGGGCAACGCCAAATAGCAGCTACCATCCACCGTGTTATGGCCTTGATGTCTAATCGAGAAGGAGTTCAGGAGATGAACAATTTTACGATGCGATGGCTTTTTGATATAGAAATCATAACAACAATCAACAAGTATCAAGTCAACTATTCTTTCAGTCTTTTGACTTCACTGCTCTCTTAACAGTACTGATTTGGCTCTCTGTGCCGCTGCCATTAACACACACGTCTTTCATTGCTATTCTTTATTTTTCTCTCTCTCTCTCCATCAGTCATCAGTAACTAGTGTTTTGATCTAATTCCTCGTCTTTTGCCATTTTCAGAAGCCGCTCAATCAAGCGACTCTTCACTCGACGATGTCAGTGGCGCCAAATGACTCTTCGGCTGCGCAGAAAGTGCTATCGCTGCACGAGCTCCTCACCATGATATTGGGCGCCAAGAGATGGACCACGAACAGTCCAGGAAACCCCCTTCAATATATTCTAAGCGAAAAAGATCTCATGAACGCCATGCGGGTGAATCGAATCTGGTTTGATATCGCCTCGCAGGAGTTGTGGGCTAACCAAGATTCTATTACCCTGCTTTTCCACGTGCCGCCTGCTCGTCGACAGGTTTATGCATCCATGATGACTCAGATTTCATATCTCGGGGAGCATCTAGAACTACATCATGTCGAATATAGAGATCTTGTGTTCGAGAGCCTGAAGCAAGTGTTCATTCGACTCCGCGAGATCTGCACCATGAGACACATTAAACCGTTTCTGGTACCTTCTCTGCAATCTTTTCACCTTGTCGACGAGAGAGAGTTGCAATCCGAGATCTTTTCTCAGTTGGCCAGAGCATGCCCGAAAGTACGAGATGTCACATTATCCATACATAAACTTAGAAACACGTCCACATTTCAATCATTTTCTAGATTCATCCGGCATGCTCGGTTTCTCAAAGAGGTGACGGTCCAATTTCTTATGACCAACGAGGCGACTGGTGAACTTTTATCCTCGTTGGCCCATAGCAGCAGTTTGGAGCGGCTGCAACTCTCATGGTTATGGACCGAGTCTCAATCACAGCAACTTACAGCCGCAGTATCGAATTCGGGCGTTGAGCCTTTCCCCAAAATTACACATATGCATCTATTTGTTCGGTCAAGGGCTATTGACCAGCTGGTTCCTCTTGTTGCGAACTTGAAACGTCTCACACTGACAGTTAACGACTCAACAGATGATGTGCTGCCGCATGTGTCAAATCTAGCAAAACTGGAAAGCTTGATTATCCATTATAAACTACCCTGCTTCACTCCTAGGGAATCATTGTTGGGACTGGGCGCCCTTTCAAGGCTTTCAACTATTCACCTGTGCTCCTGTACCTACGGAACGATCGGTGTCGATCTCATGCGGTCTAATCTTTCCGACGGTGACTGTGAGGCATTGGCTCGTCGACTGCCGAATCTTCATTGCCTTCGGCTTCAGCTGTGGTGCAATATTTCTACTAAAGCTGTGGAATCATTTCTACGTCATTGTCCAAGTCTTGAGAAGTGCGAATTTATGCAGCGGCTTGATACTACTGATCTGTTCACTTCTACCTCTGACAACATGATATTTCCACAACTGCGTAAGTTATGTTTGGGGAGTCTAAAAGGGTGGGCAATAATGAGGTCAGTTTAAATCTTCTTGCTCAGTCACAGCACTTGATCCAAACGTTTGTAAAATAGGCTAATCGAATTGATTCTGTGTGATATAGCCGGTTGAGACCAGACCAATTTTGTGATTCATTCGAGAGGCAGTTCCCCGGCGTTAAACATGTGGAGCTTGGGCATAGTAACAATATAGAACGCAGTTACTACGACCTAGCTTTTAGGCTATGGCAACGCAGTGAGCCCGGAAGATTTTATGGTCGCAAAGAATTGGGAATTGAGCTCTTACTGGAAGGCGCTGAAGCTATCGCGGACCCGAACATCCCCCTTTGACTGTATTGATAGCAACCTTTTATGTTCAAGCTTCCCTGACGAATATATTCACACAGTCATTTGGTCTGAGCTCATGCCTTTGCCTTCTTGTAGCACGCCTGCTTTGCGTAAAATGGACACACAGCTCGTTACAACCTCGGGCTTCACACCCTCTGTCTTGGCCGGAAACGTGACAGTCTTGAGCCACTCTCGAGCATCTTCCGCCGAGTAGTCCAGATTTGTTGAAATGTACTCGACGGCCTCGTCTGGGTTCTTGTTGAAATGCGCCACTCCCTGATCCAGCTTCTGAAACAAGTCCTTTACACGAGCGTCCAGCCCGCCCTGGGTGAGCTTCGTCGACGCCACAATCTTCCAGCTGCTCCACGGCGTGTAGATTTCGCCCACACGGCGGATCTCGCCAGAGTCGTAGTACTTTTTGGACGTGAAGTGCTCCCACATGAAGAAGTCTGCCTCGCCCGAGTTGACGGCGTTGCGCAGCCTCTCAAACGTGTTGAGCACGACGTGGTCGGAATAGGGGGAGTCTGATGCACCCGGAGCGGACAGCCAGCCGTTCTTGTCGGCGAGGACGTAGCCCATCACGTAGCTGCCGGAGCCGATGCGCGAGACGCCGATTTTGCCGCCTTTGAGGGAGTCGACGGATGTGATTTCGGGGCGCTTGGCGCCGGTTGAGATGGCCCAGCCTTTGTACGTGTTAGTGTTTGGACTTGTGATGAGTCTAAGACATGACAGTATCATGTTGAGTTTTGATAATGTCTGTCTTCTCTTTGTGCACTTACAGAGCGGCGTCTCAACGTATGTTCCGACTAATCGATAGCCTCCATCTCCCTCGACTCCGTCTTTGCCCAGACCTGCAATCCACGCCTCGGTCAAGCCAATGCCGATGTCAATCTCATTGGCTCGTAGAGCTGTAATCATGTGGCCGGTGCCTGAGGGAAAGGGAACGAGAGTAGCATCGAGGCCGTAGTATTTCTGAGCAAAGTGCAGCGGGGTAGAAAAGTGCTCAGGCACGTAGCCGATGCGGAGGGGGGTGGCCATGATGATGATGGGTTTGATGGGGGAGTTTACTGGTGTATGAAAGAGATGATTGCTTGCTTTCTCCTGTTATTCTGGATTACCTCGGAATGATGAGAGGTTGTGAAGAGGTTGATGAAGATTTTTGTATTTGACTTGCGCGCTGTGGCACTGAGTGGGGTTGAAGACATGGCGATGATGAAATAAGCTCCTAATTATGTTGTCTATTTGCTTACTGAGCAACACAATGGAATGTCATTTGAGATGACTGAGATTTTTTCTGTTTATCATATTATCAAAACTAAAATACGAGGTTTCCTTGACCAATATTGGTTCATTTCTTTTGTACACTTTGAAATCTCATAGGAGTGCTCTTCTTTGGGCTGTAATACAAGTACACGCAGTTAGCTACAGTGACTTTTAGCCCCTCCATCAAACATGTAGCTATCATCACATGCGCCAAAGTCTTTTCACTGTCTGGATTCAATAAACGAGTTCTGAATCTATTGACAAGATACTCATGCAGGATATGCCTCGGCCGGGATGAGCCGATAGTCTCTGTGTGACTGGATGCATAACGCACAATCCTATCTACATGTGCTTACATTGCAGAATATCAACAGCGGCACTTGCAAATCTGATAGGTTGAGCTTCATGATACCAAGATCCCTTGTAAATACCGGCCGCGGGCTTATACTCGCACCAGAGATGATGTGGACGACAAAAACATTGCGCCGAGGCTGACGGACCAGGGCCGTGATTACAAAGTCTGGAGGATTCACTATTTCTCTGCTATTTCGCACTAGAATCCGCCCTTTGTCGTTATCAATCTCCCCCATTTTTTTCGGCCCCTGTACCCTCGACTATACTGAGCCGCCCTAGGAATAACCGCTGTCACGTATTTCTTTGCCTTTTCAATGATCATTCATCATTTAGAACTCGGCCATTTCTAGTCTTGCGGCTCGTTCTTCACTCATGTCGGACCGCGAGCCACACGCTCGCGAGGACGCGCCTCTGCTGGGCCATGAGCGCGAAGATGAATCTGAATCCACCATCAGCGACGAGGCCGCGCCGATAATCAACGCAGCGCGATGGCAGGTTAAGACGAGAGCCTCAATTGTCAGAACCATTGCGGTGGTGCAATGCGCCATCATCGGCACCGGCATGCTTTTGCTCATTCCTCTCTACCGTCTTATCGAAGACAGCGTCTGCCACGTCTATTATGGCGACGACTCTCTGGACATGATTGATGAGATGAAGTGTAAAACGGATGAGGTCCAGGCGCAGATGGCATATCTGCTTGGATGGCTGGGCCTTTTCCACTC